CCACTAAAAACGATGGAAGCCAAAAAACCACCACCGACAGCCTCTTAAAGCCGCGCCACCAATTTCATATAGGAGCTCTTAATGTTAGGACACTTTGCCAAATAGGACAACAAGCATCACTAGCCAAGACCCTGGCATCACGAGCCATTGATGTATGCTGTGTTTCAGAAACACGCATACAAGACCCAAGTGTGGTTATTCACCTAACCCCACCTGGCCAACAGGTTGAATCTGCAAAATTCACCTTGAGGGTGTCAGGAGATGCCACAGCTAGTTCACGAGGATTAGCTGGCGTAGGGATAGCTTTGAGTACTAGGGCAGAAAAGACATTGCTTGACTGGATCCCGGTAGATAGCCGAATGTGTGCTGTCCGCCTGAACGGATCAGTAAGAAGGAGGAAGGACTGCACTACTCGCCGATGCCTTTTCGTAATCTCCGCCTACGCCCCCACTGACTGCAGTTCAGATGAAACGAAGGATGAGTTCTACCAAAAGCTGTCTAGTTTGGTGGAAAGGCTAAACGCTCAGACATAGTCGTTCTAGCTGGTGACTTTAACGCTCAAGTAGGGAAATTGTGTCAATCTGAGAAGGATGTCGGTGGCACCTATGGAGTTCCGTGCCAGCGAACCGACAACGGTGACCGTCTCCTACAGTTCTGCTCTGATAATCATTTGTTTCTTGTAAGCACTAACTTTAAACACAAGGAGAGACACTGTTTGACTTGGAGACCCCCTTCATCAAACCAACGCTGGACACAAATAGACCACATAGCAATAAGCTATCGTTGGCGTGGGTCGGTAGGAGATTGTCGCTCCTTCTGGAACACGTGCGTAGATACCGACCATGCACTGGTCCGCGCTCGGGTGTGCTTACGACTGAACGGACGTAGGAAACAGCTGGCGGTAAAACCATCACGTCCCCAGCTCGATCAGGAAACTAAATCCGTATTTCAGGAAGAACTAGCTAAACACATATCTGTGTTCGACAGCTGTGCTCACCCTGAAGAAGCTTGGAAAAATATCCAGGCAGCCATAGATACAGCTGTAAAAGCTGTGAATAAGGTAAACCCAAAGGTGAGTAAAAACCACTGGATCTCCACCGCCTCATCCGAACTGATAGATGCTAGAAGACTTATTCCGGCGAGCTCCGAATTCAATGAGGAGCGAAAGCTGCACAAGAGGAAACTTACGAAAAGTCTCCGCAAGGACCGTGAACAGTGGTGGGCGACAAAAGCCAAAGAGATGGAGAAAGCTTTGAGGATAGGCAACACCAGGCAACTCTTTGGACTCATCAGGGAAACGGGTGGGAGAAGACAAATCATCAGTGAGACAATCTCGGAAAAAAATGGCACTATAATTAGCTCCAGGATAGACGACTGGATCGTTGGAAAGAGCATTATGAGGAGCAGTTTAATTTGCCCACAGCCACGCTCAACCTTCCGAGCATCCAACACCTCCCTGAATGGGATATAGACACAGGTCCTCCGTCACTAACTGAGGTTACTAAAGCTGTCACCAATCTGAAACTAGGCAAAGCAGCGGGACCTGATGGAATGACGCCAGAGGTATTTAAGTACGGTGGAGACAGCTTACTGTCCGGATTAACTGAGGTACTAGGCAGCGTCTGGGAATCAGAAGAAGTCCCATCGGGTTGGTGTAAGTCACTGATTATCCCCATATACAAGAAGGGAGACAAGTCTTCCTGTGATAATCACAGAGGGATTAGCTTGACTAATATAGTATCTAAAGTCTTAGGCTCAATAATCATGCGTAGACTGAGTGGTGCTCGGGAAGCACAAACACGAGAGAGCCAGGCAGGCTTTAGACCAGGAAGAGGGTGTATTGATCATATCTTCACCCTCCGACAGATTCTAGAACATAGGCATTCCTACCGGCGTCCAACAGTCATTATATTTCTTGACCTAAAGGCAGCATTCGACTCTGTCGATCGGGAAGTTCTCTGGAGATGCTTGGCTGTAAAGGGAATTCCAAGAAAATATATTGCACTGATTAAGGCACTCTATTCGTACTCATACAGCCAGGTGAGGGCTTACGGCGAGCTGTCATCTGAACTGATGACGACCAGTGGTGTCCGTCAAGGATGCCCATTATCTCCTTTTCTATTCAACTTCATCATAGATGTGTTAATGGACTTAACCCTAGGTGACTTCAGCGACTCAGGGATTGACTTGCTACCGGGAATAATCTCGTTGACTTGGAATATGCAGACGATATAGTCCTTCTAGGCGAAGACGCTGACGAAATGCAGAGTCTTCTAAACACCTTGAGCCGCAATCTACGAATGTTTGGCATGCGATTCGCTCCCGCCAAATGCAAGATGATGTTACAGGACTGGACTACATCGACGCCTAGTTTAAAAATAGGAAGTGAAGTGGTAGAGCACGTTGACCGCTTCACTTATTTGGGAAGTACCATCAGCCCCAACGGGCTGATCTCTGACGAAATCTCAGCACGAATACAAGGGGCTCGTTTCGCATTTGTTAGTTTACGCCGACTCTGGCGTAGACGAGATGTTCGACTATCGACCAAAGGGCGGGTGTACTGCTCATCAGTCCGCTCCGTCCTCCTTTATGGTTGTGAGACCTGGCCACTGAGAGTGGAAGACATGAAAAGACTAGCTGTCTTTGATCATAGGTGCCTGCGTTCTATTTCCCGTGTAAAGTGGCATAATAAGGTGAGCAACATTGAGGTTAGGCGTAGAGTTCTAGGTAAACAGGGGAAATCAATCGACGAAGTCGTGAAGCTACAAAGACTGAGATGGTTAGGACATGTGTTACGTATGCCAAGCCATCGCCTCCCTCGACGAGCAATGTTAGCGGATATAGGGTCAGGCTGGAAAAAAGCTAGCGGCGGTCAAACAAAAACTTGGCATCAGTCAATGAAATCCACAACAGTTGGTCTAAGCCACGTAGGAAGGTGTAGACTTCCAGGCTGGGGTCCTCGGGACGGTAAAAATCTATGGTTGGAAACAATTGGTGACATGGCTCAAAATCGTTCTCAGTGGCGCAGATGCATCCACTCCCTGTGACTTATGATCTCCAATGAAACTGTTTTGTATTTCTTTATTACTCCTTTGTCTCACACCTCTGCTCACTGTTTCTATTATGCTTTTCTTGTACTTTCTTCTCTTGCTTCGCGTGCTACACGGAATGTGGCGACTTGAACTTCCGCACATTTGTGCAAAGTTCTATGTCGAAAACAGACAGACAGACAGATATGCCATCCCGGAGTTGTCCGAATGATGCATTTTGTACGCTCGAGAAACCTCCCATTCTCCCTTGACGAGGTGCGCAATGTAACCGGTAAATGCGTGACATGCTGTGAGTTAAAGCCTCAATTTTACAATCCCTCTAATTTCAAACTCATAAAAGCAACCCAACCTTTTGAAAGGTTAATCATCGACCTTAAAAGACCTCTACCGTCAGCTAGCCGCAATCACTATCTGCTCACGCTGATCGATGAATATTCTCGATTCCCCTTTGCATTCGCCTGCCCCGACATGTCGTCTCAAACGGTAATGAATTGCCTTTGCCAACTGTTTTCGATTTTCGGTATGCCTTCTTACATACATACCGAATTACGGGCATTTCTTCTGGAGAAAGGCGTAGCAACCAGTCGTACTACCTCATACAATCCTCAAGCCAATGGGCAGGTCGAGCGCCTCAATGGAACACTTTGGCGTGCCATCACTCTAGCATTAAGATCACGGGGTCTACCAACGGCACAATGGGAGTCTGTTCTACTCGACGCCTTGCATTCCACGACATCTTTGCTCTGTACTGCAACGAACGCCACGCCACACGGACGACTGTTTACCTATAACCGAAGATCGACATCTGGGACAACTCTTCCTACTTGGCTCACTGTACCAGGACCAGTACTTCTCTGGCGGAGTGTTCGTCAGTCCAAATTCGATTCCCTGGTCAAAGAGGTGGAGCTATTGAATTGTAACCCGCAATTTGCTCACGTTTGCTTCGGTAATGGACGTGAAGATACAGTTGCTCTTCATCATATGGCACCCAAAGGCTAAGATATTGATCGAGTTGAAAATTCAATACAGGAGGGCGACGCAATTCCTGAGCGACAAGTAAATGGGGATGCGACCACTGATCCTAATATTCTTCGCGAAGAAAATACAACTGAAACGAACAACGGGCGTATTCTTTTGGAAAAACAACAACGTGTACGGCCTTACAATTTGCGTACCAGAGAAGCGTGACATAATGGCTCATTCCTTTTCAAGCCGCAGTGAATGTTGTGAACTTTTCTTATAATACGTATCTAATCATATTCATATCTCTACCGCTATTAACACCCTTTTTTTCCTTTATATGTTTAAGCCATTCCGGCTTCATTGTAAAATGAATAAAGCCTAAATTCTTGGTTCATTCGTCTTTTCAAGATTCAAGCATCACTCATCGTTCTAAGACTCAGTCACCTTCGCAACAACGGTGTATAAACTTTTTTGTACAAAGTAAAGCTGTTATTATTACTACTACGTGGTACTTAGTTTTTCTTTATCTGAGTAGTAATCACCACGCCTGACATGTTCCTGGGTGAAATCCTCGGCCGGCGCACTTCCTAGACCTCGTTAAGCCTGCAGTAGTAGGCAGGGTAAAGAGGGGAAGTTTCGGACATTTGAGACTACCAACCACACCTGGTAAAAAGGAAGAACATCACTGCTATTGAAACTCCGAAGCTCATGCTTGAAGCCCCCCCCCCTCTCGTTCCACTCGGAACGTAGAGTAATGAAGTAAGAAAACGATGAGTAGTAATCAAATTGTTGGGATTCAAATCTTTAGCTACAAGAGCACATATTTTCCCATTTATTTGGTAGCCTATTACTATCCTCTTTTTTTAGACTAATGTTATACCATTTGACTGCAATGAAAGTTATTGAATAATAATGATAAATTAATTTCAAAATCTTTTTATTCATTTTTAATACAATTCGTTTTTTTCCCTCCTAATTTTATTGTAGTCGCATTCGTCGACAAACAGGCGCAATTCATTTGTAAGTGATTTTTCTGTCCGTATTTGTGTGTGTTTTGTTTGTTCGTCTTCTTGTTTTGAAAAATTCCCTGCAGTGGTCTTTTTTTCCTACTCGACCAATCTCATCATTCCCATGTGTTTTATGGTTTATTGAAAAGAGAAATACGAGGTGACCATCTACATGTTTTGTGATTACAAAACGTGTGTTTTGTATGCGTCTGTCTCAGTTCAATAGCTAACGATTTTGTCTTTATATGTTATGATGCGCTAGTTTTCTCTGATTGAATGACATTTTTTTGGTTTGCCCTGAATTGAGGTTTATTATAATCGCATACAATCAGGTATCTTGCATTGTTTCAATGCAATGTGTACGCGACAGTCTGCATTTATATGGGACTTGATTGAAAGTGGAAGACATGGAAAGCCTGGCTAGCTGTCCTTGATCATAGCTGTCTGCGTTCTATCTCCCGTGTTAAGTGGTATAATAAGGTGATCGAAATGGATTGAGGTGAGGCGTCCATTGAGTGTTAGGTAAGGAGGGAAAATCAATCGACGAGTTTGTGAAGTTACATCGATTGAGATGGTTACGATATATATATTGGTGCGCATGCCTAGCCATCAATTTTTTTATGGGAAGTGTTAACTGACGTAAAATCTGGTTGTAAAAGATAGGGTTAGTAGTGGTCAAGCCAAAACATGTCTTTATTAGTCAATGAAATCCACAACAGTTAGTTGTGGACAGGACGGTTATAACCTGTGGAAAGAGACAATCGGTGATATGGCTCAGTGATCGTTCTCAATGTCTGACTCAGATGCATTCACTCCTTGTGATTTATAATATTCAATAACATTTTATTGTTCTTCCATATTACTATTCTGTGTTAACGTCACTCCCATTCGCCTAGGAAGCACTATTGGTTAATATGAGTTCTATACGATTACTCATCTTAGTCAATCTGTAATATATGGTGACAGGCACGAATAATTAAACTTAGATGTGCGTAGGTGGCACAGTGTTTAGGACTCTCGCCGACCACGCACATGGTCCGAGGTTCGATCACCTGCCGACGCACATTTGATATCTATGGTCGGCCTGCAAAATTTGGACTACCGATATAACATGCTGAAAATCCCATATTTGTACCAAAAATACGGTGTGGAATCAAGCTGTAATCAAAAACAATAAAAAAGTAGATTATGGAGATATTCTGCAGATTGTTTTCACTGAAAGTGGAGATAGAATAAACGGCGAGCTTATAAGTATGACGTTTCAAAGTTATACTACTATTATTATTATTGTTCCCCTGGGTTCCTAGTGGAACGAACATAAGGCTTCAACAAAAGATCTCCATTTTGTTCTATTTTCTGCTGTTCTCTTAAGCTTTGCCGACGATCGCCCAGAATTTCTCATCTCCTCCTCACCACATGATCTCCTGCATGTTCTTCAATTGTCCGATCCATCTTAATTGATTTTCTTCATAATTTTTTGAGTAATAGGTTCTTGGTGTTAGCTCATTCACAGAGTCCTTGGGCAGGCTATAGGAAATGCTTTTAGTGATGCACACGCCAAGTTTCTGATCCATATAATAAAAGCACTGATTGACTTAACATTGATGTTGAAAATCTGAATCTTGTTCTTTATACTGCCGAGTACAGTGGATTTCTGAATGGTGAAGATCTGCCTTGCATTTTCGATTGTGGTTTTTACTTCTTCATCCGTGCTACCGCCTGTAGTTAAAAGGATGCTGACTGGTCAGATAAGTGAAGGAAGGAAGTAACCTCTTTCAAAGTTCTTTCGTCGATAAAGATTGGGGTACATGCTGTTGTTATTGTTGTTTGGTTATATATTCATCACCTCCGTTTTCTCTATGTCTACTAGAATTCCTGTCTTCGCTGCCTGCCTATTCTGCCAGTTCATCCACAAACTCCAGATCTTATAGAGTTATTTTTTATCGGTCCAATGTAATCCTGTTTTCTCTCCCCCCCCGCCCCAGTATGCACACATAGTCTTTCGCTTAACCCAATCCACTACAGTCAGGGATATCATCAGTGATTTTGAGCAAGCAGCTTTGTTTAACTCCATTGTGGATCATCTAGCATGTGGCATTGTCATATAACTGTTGAATTAGACTGACTACGATTTGAGGCAGCACACCATAGTGTTGGAGTAGTTTCCAAATTTATTCTCAGTCAATGCTGTCAAAGGCCTTTTCCTAAGTGAAGGAAGTTGAGGTAGGGGTTTGACAGCCATTCTATGCTATTCCTGACATGATTATGCATATAGTCGGCATTTGATTCTCAGACGATTTGCTTTTCCTGAATTCAGCCAGCTTGTTCTCCGACAGGATTGTGCATCTAGTGCATGTTTTATTTTCCCTTCAGGAAATGAAATAATTACGTTCACACCTTATTGAAATTGTTATGTTATTATAGAGTTTCTTTGAAAAAAGGAATTAGTCAGGTATTTTCTGTGTATGTATGTACATAATATAGACGAAATCAATAAACAAAAGTTCATGACAAGTTTGTTTATCTTCTGGTAGTGTAAATATAGTCTGAATAATGACCTTTAGTTTTTTTTTATAAACAATTGGTGAAGTTCTCTTTTATATTTTTAATGGTTTATTGTAGCTCTATATTAGTTTATTGTGGATATATTATACACAATATATATATATATATATATATATATATATAAAAGCTTTCTGAACAAATCAATTTAATTAAAGTATTGGTGTTTGTAAGGATTTGATTAATTGGTTACAGGATCTCATCATGGGCTGACGTCGGTTAGAGGACCACTTAAAAACCAACAGGGCTTACTGGACAGCTGTTTCGTCCTAGTTCGGCACCCTTCATCAGTACGCACCCACCTCCAGGGTTCGAACCCAAGACCTTCTGGTTACTGGGCAAACTCGTAGACCATTGAGCCACTCGGACCGAATTCAATGGCCAACTTATGAATTCCAACATCTACCGATTCATGATATAGCGCGATTGCTAACCAATGTCTTCGGCAAGTGTTTGTCCCCACACCCGACCTGCAGATGTTGGAATTCATGGGTTGACCATTGAATCGGGTCCCAGTGACTTAATGGTCTACGAGCTCGCCTTGTAACCAGAAGGTCGTGGGTTCGAACCCCGGTGGTGCGTACTGATGAGTGGTCTGAAACTAGGCTGACGAAAGAGCTGTCCAGTACTCTCAGGTTTTCCAATGATTCCCTAACCGATATCAACTCATGATGAAATGCTGTAACACATCATTTCAATGTTAGTTGCAATTCAATTCATTATTTTTGGAAAGTTCTTAAAAAAGAGCTTCCAATTGTGTAGATTGTTGTTTCATAAAAACGAAACCATTATGGGAGGTTAAACAAATCAGTGTGCTTGCTGATATTTCGATTTTAGTTCATTCCACACCGTGTCATTGAAACAAGAATCAAAACACCTAAATAGTTGTAATCACCAAAATTATTCACTTATGGTGTCTGAATGCAAGAAACCGATCTCCACGTTCTATGGTATATATAGCTGACGAAACATCGTTAGGGAAACCAGCTATCGCAAAACATTCTAAACTCAGGGAAGAGGCGATTATTCTTCGTCAATATTTTAGTGGTTTTTTATTGCACGGAGGATTTCACCATGAGCTGACATCAGTTAGAGGACCACTGGAAAACCTGGGAGTACTGAACAGCTGTTTCGTCCTAGTTTGTGACTCTTCATCAGTACGCACTCACCGGGGTTCGAACCCAGGACCTTCTGGTTACAAGGCGAGCTCGTAGACCATTGAGCCACTGGGACCCTATCTAATGGTCCTTGAATTCTAACTTCTGCCAATTCATTAGTGGTTTTTATTAAACAATGACAACATCAAAACTCAAATTTCTTTTAACAGTGTCGCCGTGAGTCAACAGCTATACAGACAATGTATGTTTCTGATTACAGAACAAGCACTGTAAGACAAAATTAGCTGAGTAAAGTTCAGCTGTAAATGGTGCCTTGAAATATAAGGGAATATTCCTCAGTGGTAACGTCTCTGACAGCAGTACTGAATACGACTTGTGTTCGAATCCCAAAAGTGATATGAGTTCTTTTAAGATTTCAGATAAGAGCGTTGGTGATGCAGAGCTAGAATGCTAGCCACCTGCTCATGTGGTCGGGGACGCAATCCCTGACCGATACACTTTTAAACATGACCTCACTGACAGTAGGCTCGGTAGGAAGAAAAGATTGGCAGTCACCCCAACAATCTCACCCCGTGAAACAGGAAAAACACAGTGCTACCATTGAGACTTCAGAGCTCAAACTTGAACCCTCATGTTGTTCTTGTAAGATCTCAACGAAATAAAATAAAACTGAATAAATAAATATCTGTAAGCGACGACTACTTTGTGTCTAATAGGATACTGTGTTTTATGTGAATAAATGCATAACCTTTGTTCTAGTACTAAGGCAACAGTAAAGAATAGACATCACAGTCGAATGACCTTGGAATAACCAATAGGATTGCTTAGCGTTACAAATCAATGCTGTTGGTAATCTTCGTCCCAAGTTTCACCCACCAGATTTGTTTTTTGACTTGTGGGTGAAAAATGGGTTTATGATAGGGGGGAGGACTAATGAGGGAGGGATAATGACTCTGCAAAAGTATTATCGGGCTATTGATGGTGGTTATGCATTCAGATGCAGTCACTATCATCATAGCAGGAAGTGTGTGAGAGTTTTTGGTATGCTTTCTTCTTGAAATGGAAACTCTGTCTTACTAAAGTATTGTGTAAATGACACAGTTGGCTACTGAAACAAACGACTAGTATTTACTACAGCTGTAGAAATAGAGAATACTAAAATGTCAACATTGCAGTCTGTCTGTCTGTCTGGATTCAACATAGAACTTGGCACCGAAGTGCAGCAGTTCGAGTTGCCACCTTCCAAATAGCACACAGAGGTAGACAAGAAGATGAGTGGAGAGAATCAATAGAGTTTGACAAGTATAAGAGTGAAACAGAATGGGTAATGGTAGAAAGGAATATGAAAGATTACAGAGATTGAATACATCTGCGCCATTGACAACGATTTTGAGCCATGTCACCTATTGTCTCCAGCCATTGATTCCTAGAGTCCCGAGGGCCCCAACCCGGGAGTCTGCATCTCCCTACCTGACTCAGTTTAACTGTCAAGGATTTCATGGATTGATGCCATGTTTTTGTTTGGCCACCACTGGCTCTTTTCCAACCTGAACCTATATCAGCTAGCAAAGCCCGTCGGGGGAGGCGATGGTTAAGCATGCGCAGCACGTGATCTAGCCATCTTAGTCTATGTAACTTTATAGCAACATTGCAGTGGCGTCAACACTGTCGGGATATTGCCTCATAAAAGATCAATAGAATTACTTGTGTACTTGATGGAATTTGTATCGTCGTTCATACTGACGAAACAGTATTTATTAAACGAAAAATGAATCACTGAAGTAGGAGAAGAGTAAACCATGTTTAGGTGCTGGGGCTGTACGACAAAAATCTTTGGAAGGGGTTTGTATAACGCATCCTAAACGGAGGTGCTGATGATTTAATATCAATAAAATGCAACAACTAGTCCTCCTAGGCACTCTACCCTTCATAAAGATAAGTGGGAAGACTATTCTCCCACTATCATCATTAAGCTATATTCATCATAATGTCAATCACATTTCTGAATGAGTGAATCCTATGAATGTCCAACAGACAACAATCAGCATAAATGGGGGGAACCTGAAAGAAATAACCTCCTTTACCTAACTGGGAAGCATCGTTTCAACTACAGGCGAACGGAACTGGCGAGGATATCAAAGCAAGAATCGGAAAAGCAAGACAAGCTTTCATTACTCTCAAGTCTGTGTGGAGGTCAACAGCACTACCCAGCCTGAAAATGAAAATAAGATCCGGATTTTCAGCTTCACTGTGAAGTTAGTGCTACTATACAGATCAGAGACTCGGCCAGGGCGTCATAAAGAGCATCTCCAACAAACTTCAGACCTTCATTAACAGTTGTCTTCGCTCAATACTCAAGATCAGATAGCCGGCCAGAAAAGATCAGCAACATGGATCTCTCGGAATGAGCGAACCAACACAGCAGGAAACAACTGTGCAACAAATATGCAGGAAGAAAAGGAGGTGGATTGACCATACTCTGAGGAAACCATCAAGTAATATCACATGATAGGCCATCGCTCGAGTGGAACCCGAATGGGAAGCGGCGAGTTGGTCGTCACTGCAAGGGTGACTTGGAGTAGGTCATGTGAAGAGGAGATGAAAGCTTGTGGGGCAGACTTGGAACCAGGTGAAAACTTTGGCAGGGAACCGAACGCAATGGAAACGCGCAGCTGAAGCCCTATGTTCCTCTAGGAATTAAAGGATATAATAATAATAGTGAATGGAATTCAAAGAAGTTCTATTGAAGGATTCTGACTCCATCTAAAAACAAGCGTATTAGAATGGTAAATTGTTCCTGAAATGATATTGTAACGACACAAGACAGGGGTTAGGCATCAGATTGTTTTTTGAGAAAATCAACAGATATTTATAGGTTTTTATATACATTATTATTAGCGGAGGAACAACATCTTCTGATTGCTTGTTTTCTTGCTGGACGTTATTCTGTACTGCTTGTGGTGCTTTCTTAGCGGGGTTAGGTCACGTTAAGTCTGCTGTGATTGGTTGGTGAGTTCTCTAAGGCTAATCTTCGTTATTGTTTTTTGTCTCATGACCCCGATTCGGGACGTAAATGGTTGTCTACAATTTTGCCAGTCATCTAGATGGATTTTTGTATCGACATTGGTTTGATATATCTATAGACACACACCCCTATAAGAAACTGGCCCCGATTTGTGCAGCATAATATATATGTATATATACCCAGTAAGATTCATTTTTATTATATAAATGTCTTGTACATATACCTTCTTATACAATAAATGCCACTTCTCACCTCAATAATCTGATTGGTTGATCTTAGGTCATTTGATGGTGGTGTGTATTCTTTACTGATTTCTGTATTATTATTATTATTATCAACGTTATTTATTTTGAGCTCATCATTTTTAATGTGTATATTTCTACTTTTATAGACATGTGAATTACTGTGATTTAGAATCGTGAATAATCGGTGGGTGGGTGAGTTGCTGTTATACGGGTGCGCTTGTGTCTGTGTGTGTGTGTAGAGAGAGAGAGGGAGAGAAATGACTCATCTATTTACATTAATTAATCATTGATTATGTGAATTCATTTCTTTGCATTCTTGTTGTTCTCATTATCAACATTGTCATTCATATTTAACGTTTTTATGAAGCTTATTTATAATAATAATAATTATTATTATTATTACTATTGTTTTTATGAGATCGATAGACAGACGACACACAGGCCATGTGAGTTGTTCATCATATATAACCTACTTTTATATCTAATCATTTCAAGCAAGTGTTCGCCGCCGCCGGTGCTGCTACTTGCCTGCTCCTTTCTTTAAAACAAAATCACCACCACCACCAACAACACTTTTTATTTATTTGTCTAAAAATGAGTTCATTGGACCTTTTTTCTTTAAAAAAAAAAGCTTAAACTGCTAAACCAGTTCATTTCATCTCATCACTATCTTTTCTTTTAGCATATGTGCAACACTTGTGTATGTGTGGGTATGTGTGTGTTTGTCGTTTTCATCTAACTGTCTTTTTATTTTTATTTTCTAAGTTTTTTTAAAATCGAAAATGAAATGATGACATCAGATTGACTGATTGACTGACTACTGTTATATCTATGCTTCTTTGGCTATCCATCCTGCAGAGTCGTTGTTCACACAAAGGCATATGATGCTGCTCTATATATAACTCAATAAACAAATACAATACAAAAAATCTTTCTCAAATATTGTGATACTATTTTTATCCTTAATATTATTATTACTACTATTCATTATTTTCATGTGAAGTATTTATCCTCCCTTATTGACGAATACAACTAACACTAGGTGTATATTTATATATATGTGTGTATGCATGTATAAATGATACACACGCTCCATCTGTTGTGCCCCTGTATGTGTGTGTGTATAAACGAGTGATAGATAATAATGATCTATTTTAGAAATACTATTGTATTGCATTCTACTCTCTTATATTTCTGACTTCGTCATTATTATATATTTTCACATGTGAGATTCATTTTTATTTTGAAATCTATACCCCCCCCTATTATATCATCTACTGATTTTTCGTTCACCTGTGTGTGTATATGTCCATGTGTGTTCGTATCTTCTTTTGCTTTCATTTCACACCTTGGTTTTTCTAAATTGCCGTTGTTGGCGGCGGTGTTGTTGGCATTTTACATTTTATTCGTTTCATCGAAATACGAATAAATTTAACTTGCTTGCATGTGGTGGTATATACACATACATTGTTTTTATTAGTTCTAATGACTTTCATCTCTGTGCGTGGGTGTGTCGGACATGGGGAGAGGGGTGTTTCTCTACATCGATTAGAAAAAGAAAACTGGAACTTCACCTGTTGCTACTGTTTTTACCGGTGTCGTTTGGTGAGAAACACACAAGCGCACATCTTAAAACGTATATATTTATACGTATGTGCATATGACTTTTATTAGATTTTATTGTTTGTAATATCTTTATATATTCTCTGTTCTGGTCTCCATTATTATTATTATTATTTTATTATTATTATTATAATACATATACATCTTTGTATAAATGCACTTGAATTTATTGTTGTGTTTGCTTCTCTTGATAACACAATACCAATAATATGATTGTTATTATTATTGTTATTTCTAGTAATAGTAACTTCAAGGTGTTTCTTTTCTCATCTCAATAAAATAAATGTGCTTATAAATTTTCGGTTATTTATTTGAGAATGAATATTTAAGGGTAAATGTGTTGCGAGGTTTGTCTGCTGTGTGTTTGCCTGTTCCACTCGTATATATATATATATATATAATTTCTTGTCATCAGACTGTACGATTACATAACAATATTACTTTGTTTAATCATAGGCAATTAGCAATAATGTTGTGCATCGGTAGCACAGCGGTAGAATGCTCGCCGACCACGCATGTGGTTCGAGGTTAGGTCGTCGGCCGACGCACTGCCTCACCTCACTGAGCCAGTAATAAAACTGGTAAAAAAGGAAGACTGGGCATGAGGCTAGTAGTCCCATCCCGTAAAAGTAAACATCACTGCTACCGAAATTTCAAGCTGGCTCTAGCTTGAAGCCCTATGTTCCACTGGGAACGTGAAGGAATAAAAGAAATGTTGATATTATTAGAATTAATGTGTGTTCATGCAAATGTGATTACCACTCTTCTCCGAGGAGACTTTTTTGTTAATCTTCGAGCATAATGTACGTACTAAGTTTCGCTTTCGGATCAGTGGAATGGATGAAGCTTTGGAAGTTGATAAACTTTCCATTCCATGTTGGAGTCTGTGGTATATATTGATATTTGGATCGTGCAGCCTTGTCTTCCAACAAGTAAGTATATCAAGGAATGGAAAAGGCATGTTTTATTCACGTTACGTGTCGAGTGCTAGGTAAAGAGCGGAAATGAATAGACGAGGCTTTGGAGTTACATCGACAGAGATGGTTAGGACATGTGTTACGCATGCCTAGCCATTGCCTTCCTCAACAATGCGCAGTGCTAGCTGACATAGGATTGATAAGGTTGAAAAAGAGAGAGCTAGTGATAGTTGAACCAAAACATGGCTTCAACAGTCAATGAAATCCACAACAGTTAGTTTTAGCCGTGTAGCGAGGTGTAGACTTCCTGGTTAGTGTCTTCGGGACGGTAAACACCCATGAGGTCTGGAGACGATCAGTTGGTGATATGGCTCAAAGTGATCGTTCTCAATGACTGGTGAAAATGCATCCACTCTTTGTGACTTATAATACCCAATAAAACTGTGTTGTTCATCGATATTACTATTCTTTTTGTCTCGTATCTTTCTTTACTGTCTCTATTTCGCATTTCTTTTTACTTTCTTCTTCTCTGGCGTTGTGTGCTAAGTGAAGTTTGGTGACTTGAACTGCTGCACATCGGTGTAAAGTTCTATGTTTAAACCAGCCAGTTGGTCACGTTCTAAGATGGCTCTTATTATAATAGGTATGCCCCGTAGGAAGTTTTCACGAGATAGTGGCACAGTAGTTAGGACTCTCGCCGATCATGCACATGGTCTGAGGTTCGATCCCCTGCCGACGAACACCTGATATCTATGGTCGGCCTGCAAAATTTGGGCTACCGATATCCATGCTGAAAATTCCATACTTGTACCAAAAATACGGTGTGGAATCAAGCTGTAATCAAAAATAAAATTAATCAAATTTTTTATCATAAATTATAAGCATATCATCTACGTATCTCTTGCATATATGTATAGTCGACTGATCGAAAGATCGAGGATGTTATTTTCGACGCTGATCATGAAGCAGTCAGCTAGGAAGTGGACCAAGAGGGGACCTTATAGTTACACCATCTCTCTGTGCGTAGAATTTTTCATTGAATTTGAATCGGATATTAAGTGTACGTCTGAGAAGTAGTTCCTTCAAGTAGTTGATGGGAAGAGTGACTTCTAGGCTGATTGTTGGTTTCGATGTAGTCGCAGATGAAAAGCACATTGTCTCGGTGAGGCGGATACTTGTGAATAGAGAGGTGACATATACTGTGAAAGTGTTTATCTTTCAAACGCATTGCTGAATCGATGAAGGCAAATGTATAACTAAGGCTATACGCTTGACACATTTGCTCTAATTCGAAGACATTAAAGTGACATATATGAATTAGTGGACAATAATCCACTTGTTTACATTATAGGAGTAATAATATCAAGGATAAATTCATTCAAGTGTTTATACAATTAAGGTAGGCAGTCAGTCGTTCTAAAGGTGTATACTTGTAGGGACAGAGGTGAGAAAATAACTTTCGTCTCATAGCCACTAGACAATAGAGTATTTGGTTTTATAATAAATTGCAAAATAAAGATTAAAATTAACTTCTATAAAGTTAACCACTCTTGTGAAGAAACAGCCACATAGGCAGAATGAGTCGGAAAGCCTCCTGTTGCCTTCTTGAGCATTCTTCAAAGTAGTGCGGAAAAGGAATCGTAAAGTCGATCAAAATTCTCATATTGGCACATTTAGTGGATACGCACCACAAGATTGGTAATTCCAATCATGGTACTATCTCAGTTCTCTAGATTTGTACGCCCTAGATTGCTAAAGCGCATAGCTGTGTTAGTTGCCATGAGAGTTTTTCAACCCAATCTATGTGTTCAGATAAAGTTAGTTTAATCTCCCTCCCTCCCTTGGCCTTCACAGTTATCTCTTCCTGGGACACCGGATAACAGTATCATGCTCTGCTGTAGTTGTGCATTTTAATCTTGGTTTCACAATTTATCATTTTGTTATATTATCTAATCGCTATGTGACAATAGTTATTTTTCCTTCTACCCCGTCTAGTATTTACTCACCATTGCCTAGATTATGTAAACACTTAAATGAATTTAGAAAACAGAAAGATTGAGCGAAGAAATATTTACTTTTCGATTAGATCCTCATCTTTGGCTCTACTCTAATATATATATATATATATATATATATATATGTGTCACTCTCTCACTGGCAACCCATTCTTCGCTTCCCATTTGGGCTCCATCCGAGCAATGGCCTGCATTGCACACGATGTCATTCGACAGCCTCCTCAGTGTATGCTCGAACCATCTCCATTTTTTCCTACATATTTGTTGAGCCATTGGCTTTTGGCCTGTTTGTTGCCTGAGCACCTCGTTTATTATCATCCAGTACTTCGTTTATCCCTGAACTTTGATTCTATTAACTACAATAGTTTCAATTTTTCTATGAATAATAATCTTACTGTATAATTGTTAAGCCAGATGATGAGAAGTTAACCCCCTCCCTCCAACAAATATGCATTTGCTTAAATTGTGTTTATATATATATTGCACTCAAGAGGAGTCATGCATTCCACACATTTTAAAATTATCAGTGAACAGGAATATGTCTTCTACGATACTTACTCTTAGTCCATATATTATACGAAATATTCAATGCAGAATACGATGAGAGTATATTGAGTGGTTAGTTTTCATGAGTACGTAGTACTAGCCTAATTATAATATGTGTTTATGTCGTGCTAAATGATGATAGCTCATTTTTATGCATTTCTAACATGGCATGGCTAACATTGTTCTTTGGCCAAATAAACTTTCAATAAGAATTATGCACTAACAAGTCAGTCAATAGCTTCTTGTAAAATAATTTTTTTTCTTCACGTTAACAAATATTTGTAGGTTGGTGTTGAGTAGTTCACCGATAGATAGGGGTATTTGTCGGTTGTAGTATTTTACGGAATGCTGTGGAATTGCGTTAGATGTCTAAGGTGGACGACACAAGTTCATACACGTTTTCGGAAGCCTGCATAGCTTGTTTTTTTCTTTTCCCAATTGGTTGGTTTGATTTATGTGCGCATCAGCATTTTTTATAGCTTGTTTCAGTCACATGAAATCATTTATCAGCATTTTAACCATAAGGTGTTTTTATTGTTGAAAGTAAACAACCATTGATTTGAAGAGATTATAAAGACTACTCATCTATATCTTCTTGGCTGATATCTTAAATTCTAAAGGATACATCACATGGGACTGCATGTGACCGGACTCCAGAATATATTCACAAATGGAAGACTTCATCATCCTAGGCTCACCTCTTGTTAACCACTTCTTAGATGTGATATTAGATAGAAGAGAGTATGGTGTGTTAATATGGTCGGCTTACCAAAAGCTAACTCTAACAGGACAGTACACTAACTTCCACAGTTGAGTACCTTTAGTTAGATAGGAAGAGAAATCTTATCTCGTTCTCTATGCTGTAGATATGTTTGACATGGAACTAGAAAACCTTCACACAACTTTCTTAAATCATGAATACCCTAGAAGGTTTATTGACAGAAATGCCAGGAAGGAAACCGCCTTCAGCCAAATCACAGTGCCAAATGGAGACACTGTTTATGAGTTAGGCGTTCAAGAGTGATAATGTTACTGAAGTCATCAAAAGTCGTTTATCTAAATGTATTAAACATTGTTTTTTATGCAGTTGACTGACATTTAGTATCTACCAGCCGAAATATGATTCGAAAATGCATCAAGGACAAACTAACGCTTATGTCCACCTCGATGCTCGTGTGAAGCTGATTACATTGGACGTTGTAAGCGTGCCTTCTCTGAACACTTAGCTGAACACTACCCGGTTTGGTTAATAAAAGGTGACCATAGAGTGACGAAGTCTTCAATTTGTGAACACATTTTGGAGTTAGATCATTCAGCCCCACGTAATTTATCTTTCCGACCAAATCCAATCACACTCCAAAAGCGTACGCTTTCTCCACTTATGCATAGCCGAAGCTTTAACTACACATGAATAGAAACTTAATATCTTAAATGTTTGAATTCATAGCTCTGATCTAATGTCTTTTAACTCATTTCGGACTAGCCCATCTGACTGTTGTGTCGCCGCTTATTTCTGATCATATATATATATATATATAGCACATTTTAAAAAACTTATGTGGATTTTTGATTCCGTGTACGATCTACTATCCTTAAAAGTGTTCTTTAAATCGTTTGATTCCCCTTGACCATTTTGGGTAAATCATTATTACCTCTCGTTTATAATCGTATATATTGAATTTTTAAATTCACTTGAGTAGATCTCAGATATAAGTGTTAGCCGTCACCACTGCCTGTCATATCTCTCTGACGCATTACTGTTCCTCATATAGTGGCGAGAATCAAATCCGAAGGTCATACTTTTAGTAAAAGGTTGAGACAGTTTCCAACTGAGCTGCGGTCACTGACTGTCTTTTTCGCTGTACAAAACTTGATTGATTTTAATTTATGCTGAGAATAGACTTTTGAGGTGTGTAGGTTTTTCTATCAACATGATAACAATAATAATGCGAACTGCATGAGTCAAAATTCAGGATTTGATCAGTGATAACGTCTCTGGCTGACTAGAGAGCTGGGTGGTGACATGGGTTTGAATCTCAAAAGGGACATTAGTTCCTTCAGTGTCTCAGATACTGTTTACTGACTGGTGAGGCCTACACGTATAAAATCTAGAACTTATCAGGGCTTCCTACCGATTGACGCCAATTGTCTAATAATAACAAAAATTCAGAGTATATCATGATGGCGAATCACCTAGCATGGTGGCCATATTGCACACTCGACTGATAAAATTCAGTTTGTACCGAACAGAGGACTAGATAGAAGTTAATTAGTGAATGGTGGCTAGTAGTGGAATCCAGGATACGCATTTCGTCCTATTTGGGACTCGTCAACTAGATGTACCTGCATTCCACAATGAGTAATGCTGTTCCCACCGAGGATCGAACCCAGTGCCCACAGTTTCAACCGCCAGAGCGTTATCCACTAAACCACGAGAGCCACCTCTTGTGCAACGGGTCATATTAATTATTTAATTCAATTTTAGGTTTTCCCGTCGATTGATTGGACCGAAGTGCCTGGTTTCAAGTTGACGCGTGTCGGCTTCTTGTGGAGATACTTCAACGATGCCTGGGTATGAAGCATCTGCACAAGAAGCTGACACGCATCAACATGAGACTGGGTACTTCAGTTCAATTAATCGACGGGAAAATCTAAAATTGAATTGAAAGGATTAGATACATAACACTAGTTTTTTTTTACCTTACCTAGTGTTCAATCAAAAATGTCAACTATTTCATTGTAGTTCTCGATGTAGTTTGATGATTGATTTTTTGGTATAGTAATGTTCTCTCTCTCTCAGCTGGTTAGTTTAGTCACAAAGCTTCTGTTTTCTTTCTCTAGACAACATCTTCAGCGGTGACTTCAATATGTATAGTGAGTTTTTAGTATTGTATATGAATCTATTAGTCAGTCGTCGTTTCTTGTAATTTCATGGGTTATTTTAAAGTATAGTTGAGGTTAGGGCACGTCTTTTGATGATATACATAGATAGCATGGTTCTGGTAAGTTGATTTCGTTGAATAAAAAAGAAGTATTTTCTTTTCAGATCTTATAGATTCATTTTCGAGTTTATTGTTGCTTTCACCGCCTATATATATATTACTTTCACCCAGTGTGTTGTATAACACTTTTATTTGTCATTTTCAAATTACAGTTGCTTGTCTCCATTTCTTGGCTTTTGTTTTACGGGAATTTGTAGTGTACTCATTAACAATCGCAATGTCACAATTAAGTCAAAAGACGCTGACTTCATTTTTTATTAAAACTGCAACAACAACAACGACAGCAACAACAACAAATTTGAGCTCTCCAAAATCTCCAGTACTGCAAGGAGAACAAAAAAGAAAGCTTTCTTCATCGGTAAATGATGATGATAACGCTACTGATATACCCTCAAAAATTTTATGCACTGATGAAAATAAATCTGATGTCATACCAGTGACCAAATGTGAGTTGTACAATGATGGTGTACGTGTTTTTTTTTTAATGTTTGCTTTCTATCAAGTACCTTCACTGACTGACTGATTGGTTTCAGCATTGAACTCTGCACAGATGTTCAGCAGTCTGAGTCGCCACTCCGCTATCATGTAGCACACAAAGCAAGAGAAGAAGGTAAAGAGAGATAATAAACGGAAGTATGAGTGAGGCGAAAAAGAGTAGCAATATGCTCGTCATCTATTGGACACTGATCATATTGTAGACAACCTGAAGTAGTTTAAAATAAATAACAAGCAAAAGAAACCTAGCTTGTTACGCCTTACTGAAGTAATTGCCATCAAACGACTCAAACCAAAATCTATGTACGCAAAAAGAGACAGTGGTGAATCTTGCACGGCCCTGGTGATAACAAAAAATATACAACTTTCATGAGTCACCTTTTTCATGTATAGAAAACTCTACTCTCTCATCTAAACATGACTCACCCTACCTTGTTTCTTTTCTTTCCTTTTTTTCTATTGGCTGTTAGATAAGATGTTTTCTTTAGTTACGCAATCTACTTTTTTGTTATGCTCTTTCTAGCTACACCTTGTTTCTATGCATATATATATATATATATATATATATATACGCAACCCTGTTTTTTTGTTTCCAAGCCTAATTGTCTAATTATTCTATAAATAGTTAGTGTTTGTAACTCCTAATCAGTTAAATCATTCCGGACTAATGTTACTTTTAATTCCTACCAATTACTCTTTGTGATCGTGGAAAAGTATGTTTATATCTTTAATGTAATTCATATTTTTTAACGTTCAGGTTATAACCAGTTGAGAAGAATCCTCGATTAAATAATAAAAGATGAGCTCATAGTATCCTGGTACAATTGTTGTTCTTGCTTTGTTCAAGTTTATTGTATGTGATAAATCACAAGGAGTGAATGCATATACGCTAGCCATTGAGAACGATCACTTTGAGCCATATCACCAATTGTCCCCGGCCTTCGTTGATCCTTACCATCCCGAGCACCCTAACCAGGAAGCCAGTTTACACCTCCCAACGTGACTGGTGTAATGGTCTACGAGCTCGCGTTGTCACCAGAAGGTCCTGGGTTCGAACCCCCTGTGGTGGGTGCATACTGATGAAGAGTCACAAACTAGGCTGACGAAACAGTCATCCAGTACTCTCAGGTTTTCCAATGGTTCTCTAACTGGTGTCAGCTCATGATGAAATCCTGTAACTAATTGGAAATTAGAAAAGCGGGCAGAAGTTGGTATGACGTAATAAGTGTGAGAAAAAATGACTAATCACTATAGTTGTGTAGAGTGGACAAGAGCTAGTGGAAAGACGATGAAGTGTTTTTGTATAGAATCTGTATGAAAATTCAGTGTTATTAATACACAGTAGCCGAGTGATAATAAAATAAGGATGTTGAGAGTAATGATAATAGTAAACTAACATAATAAGAGGAAACAAAGTTATAGTGACAACGTTACTCTGCCCATGGTAGGGCGAAGGAATGTATGCGGTGCTTTTGAATGCATACGTCTGGTTTCATATCCTGAATAGCCAATGATTTAGCTGTGTACAGATGGTGTATTCGAAGTCCTTTCGTAGGATATTGAGGGACTCTGTGTATCACAGGGCTACACAGAGAGGATCGTTGACCGGAAATAGGTCCTAGAAATTTCACACTCATTTATTATAAATACACGAATGTACAGCCCAGTTGATTAATTCGTAGGAAAGAGAATTTTCTTCGTTGCGACGGTCTTTTTTTAGTATTTCTTGTGGTTATATTTCTAATCGATTATCATCACGTTAATTTTCCCCCTTTATAGCAGATGAATCTTCTTTAAAGCCATCCTCTCAATCTGGAAGTACTCCATTACGTCCAATAGGCAATGTAAAAAGTTTAAAAGACCTTTTGGGACTTAATACTAATGCTACTACTACTACTACCGCTAATAATAGTAATAATAAAACTTTTAATCAAAAAGTTGCTGATTGTCGTAAAAGGCTTTCTTCTCGATCCAATCTAAATGTACTTCGATTAATTGAAGGCATGTCAACTGAATGGTTTGCTATATTACTAGACGAAATTGAAAATAATAAATTTCAACAATTAGCAGATTTTATTACACATGAACGTAACAATCGTGTAACCGTTTATCCACCTAATGAACAAGTACGTCTTGCGTTTCTGTTTGAATAAAATTATATATATATTATGAAAATACTTATTTCTGATTGATTAAATTACTCCTGACTGGTTTGTTTAGCACAGTAAGCCAGCCAGTTTGAGTTACTCCGTGGTGTTCAATCAAAGTATCCAATACAGTGCTACGGGAGGTCAATCGTCATCCCGAGTATTATTATTATTATTCCCTTGGGTTCCGAATGGAGCATAGGGCTTCAACAACTCATATCAACTTTGTCCTATTTTCTGCCATCCTCTTCAACTGGATCTACCATTGGCCATAATCTCTCATCTCCTCCTCACCACACGATCTCCCCCATGTCACCCTCGTACTGACGACCCATTCGTCGCTTCCTATTTGGATTACACTCGTGTGATGTGACCTGCCTTGTGCGCGATGTCATTCGACGGTTTCCTCAACGTATGCTCGACCCATCTCCACTTTCACCTACATATTTGTTGTTCAATCGCCTCTTGGTTAGTTTGTTGCCAACCAGAGTTTCTTGTTGCTAATTCTTTCTCTCTGGCTGTCCGGCTGTCCATTTGATCTTCAGTATGGAGACGACTAACGAAGGAAGCACTTGTTGATAAAAGTCTGCAACTGGAAATTTGTGAACCCGAATAGCTCAGTAGTAGCGTCTTTAATTGACTACAGTATTTAGTGACGCTGGTGCAAACCTCAGAGGGGACGTCAGTTCCTTCAAGCTTTCAGATACGCCATAGTGACGAATGCCAACAACGAGCATGGAACCTAGGTAGGTCTAGGGCGGCTTCCCATGAATCGCCTCCAATCATCTATTAAAAACAATTTAGAGTGCACAGCGATGGGCAAATAACATAGGTTAGTGACAACATTGAAAACTTGTCAGCACCAACTCTATAGAATAGACTATTTTGTATCCAATCAGTGTAAGCTGAAGTTCTAACCAACAAAGTGAGCAGTGGTAAAATGTAATAGTTTAGAATCTTCCAAAATCCCCTTATGTCTAAGTTGAAGTAAGTTAATATGAAAACAATAATTTGCATGAGATTCTCAGCATTCAATACAATATTGCACCTAATTCACTCAACAGTAACAAAAATATTACAGTGTATAGGTAACTAAAAGTGATAATAGTCGCTTTTAGGCATTCGCAGTGACGACGAAGTCAAAAATGCACAAAATGTGTAAAATAATAATGATGATAATAATGTTGTGAATAGCTAAAATGATAAGATAATTGAAATAGTGTCACCATAATTGACAAATAGGAGAAGATAAAAGAGTCAGTTGTTTTTGATTAATTACGAAGTAAGCTGTCAGTTTTACACTTAATACCTATGTGTATCTCACATAGAACGTGGGCTGGTGAAATAAGGTATCTTTGAGTTTTGATACTTAGTTGTGCGAACTTATAATTTTTTATAGTGACTGACTTCTAGCCCTACCTGATAAGATGTAAGGTGGGGTGGGGTTGGGGGAGAGTTGTGAATGGATAGGGTGTTGAGAGTCATACAGAGCATGGATTAGGACTGTAGTAGCAACGAGTTGACTAAGTGATACACCACTTGGCGTACTGGCAAACCTTTAATACCCTGTGCAACATGACATATTCCTTTTTGAGTATGCCAGGATAGACTAATAAGGGTGATGGTTGGGGGTAGGGGGCAATAAAAATCAATAGGTAAAACGGAAGAGTTAACAAATTGTAAAGCGTGGAGGTTGAGTGAAGACTACCTGATTGTCTCAACTGCTCAGTGTAGTAGGTCAGGCGGAATAATTTCTTAGAAATCAACAAGATATGGGATGATGAAGAAAGAAATGTCAGAGGACAGAATTATTCCAAGGTATTTTACGCTTGACCTTATTTCTATTTCAGTGCACGGTATGCTACAAGCATTATGTGAACGAACCAGTTGCAACTACTATGTCATATTTCTAGAGCAGTTTTTCAGCGCTTACCTGAAAAGTTATATGTTTCTACTGTAAATAACTTCTGCTTACAATCTGACTGGCTGTCTTTTCCTATATTATATGATTTTATTTAATATGCATGCAGTGAGTGGTATAGTATTAGTGACTGGATGAGTGACGTCTTTAGCACTAGTTATTGTTCATAGTGTCACGTCAGTACGTATTCCTCACACAACTTGAAAACGTGCTTTATATATATATATATATAACTTATCTTTAACTCACTGTTCGCATAGATCTTCGTATTGTAGTACTTCTGGAATTGATGTTGTGTTTATTTATGTTCCTTTCGCGTCTCTCGTGTATCTCCACAACGCTGTATTATTGGCCTTCTCTTACATCGAATCTATCTCCCTGCTATTTGATGTTTTTATGCCGATGAACGTCTCTGTATATACTACTGATAAATCTTATCAGTAGCACTCACCACAGTAATAGTGTGGTGAAAGCAGGCTGCTAACCAATTGGTAGACATCAATTTGCGTCAATGTCTAGGTCACTGATATTGGCCGTGAGAAAATACGAACAAGGCTGATTCAACAACCAATCACAGCAAACTTAACGAGGGCAAATATGATTCGCAGATAGATGGCCTCACTTTCCGAGAAGCCAGAAACAACCAATCAGAAGACTGTGTTTGTCTGCTTGAATAAGCTATAATAATGGAAATGAAATGTCTATAAATAGGTGCTGATTTCCGTAATAAAACGGTCTGTTGTCGGCCCTTGTGTTCTGTTGTTACAGTAGTAAATTGCTTATCAACACTTATTTGCGTACTGTTAAGCATTTGACTTCCCTTTTTATTTGTTTTTTTTTAATTTTCTACAGATTTTCTCATGGACTAAATTATGCCTACCAGAAGATATACGAGTTATAATCTTAGGACAAGATCCATATCATGGACCTAGACAAGCGCATGGTTTAGCCTTTTCTGTATGTCGACCTGTACCTGCACCACCAAGTCTTATCAATATGTTTAAAGAGATTGGTTCAAGTATGAATTTATCAAATTCTGATAATTGGCCACCAAAACATGGTGATTTAACTGGTTGGGCTAAACAAGGTGTACTTTTATTAAACGCTGTATTAACTGTACGCGCTTCAATGCCTAATTCGCATAAAGATAAAGGTTGGGAGTCTTTAACAGATGCTGCTATACGTTATTTAGCTAAAAAGAGATCGGTAAGAGTAACATTTGTTTTTTCTCTGTTAAAAGTGTGTGCTTTTTCACTTTGAGATTAAGTTCATTTGCAATCGTGAGCTGACATCATCGGATAGAGAGAACGGTTGGAAAACCAGCAGGGAGTATTGGACAGCCGTTTCGTCAGTCTACTTCGGGACTCTTCATCAATACACACCCAAAACCTTCCTGGAGGTGCGTACTGCTGAAGAGTCTCAAACTAGGATGGAACAGCTGCCCAGCACTCCCTGCTGGTTTTCCAATGGTTCTCACGATGAAATCCCCCAACCAATCAAACAAAGAAACCATACACACCAATACTTGTAAATTCATATGTGTGTGTGTGTTGCCCAAATAACTCAACAGTAGCATCTCTAATCAAAACACTCCCGTACTGTATAACATATTCAGATAGTAGGTAAGCCTTGTTATTTTATTACTTGACTGAGTTTGAACATAGAACCTCCCACAGAAGTCCAGCGGTTGAAGTCGTTCCACTCCATGGTAGCACACAAAGGAAGTGTGGAGAAAGGCAAAAAGAGATTCACAAGAACTAAATAAGCAACAAAGTAAGGGAGAAATAAGCAGTAATACGGACAAACACGAGGGTTTACTGGATATCAGTAGATCATTCTGATATGTAGTTACGTGATATCTGTCATGTTTGGCAGTCTGATATATTTTCTTATCTTGTCTATTGACCGTTAGTCCATTATGACTCACAGTTTGTCTTGTCTGTCTGTTAACTCTAAATATACGAGTTTGACCACGGATTGGTATCAGTTAGAGAACCAATGAAAACCAGGAAAAGCACTGGACAACTGTTTCATCCTATTTGAACAAAGCAAGAAATACAGTTTTGTTCAAATTCATTAAGGGGAATAAATGTATGTTTCATCCTAGTTTGGGGATCATCGACAGTACGCACTGATATCAATCCCCATGGTCAAACTCGTAAAAACAAATATAATCCTTACAAACCAAACGGTTGATCATTAATTCAATAAACAATATATGACCTTTGTCACATGACATTGCAACCAATCAGAATCCAGCTGGTGGTAAGAAAAAACTACTTATCCATCTTATTGGTTCATGTATGTTAGTTGCTTTCCATATACTCTTGTATTGTACACCTAATTGACACTTTCCTACTTTTCCACTCACAGTCTTGTGTGACAGTTAATTTCCCTTGTTGGGAAAATACACTTATCTTTCGTCAACATGGGGGTCTTCTTATTTCTCTCTTCTAGTCAGGACAATTTAACTACTAGGCGATACCAGTCGTTCCGTTATCATCCTTTATATCACATTAGTCATTTATACTCGGTCACTCTATAACACATACAGAGTGAATATCCATCTGCACCACTGACAACGATTTCTACAATAGCGTCCCAAGGGATGTGAACGCACGAGTGACCTTGAGTCGACCAATCATAAAAATGGAGGATTTTTGCAATAAAACATTTCGTATATTTACATAAAAAGCATGAAAATCACATTAAACAGGGTATTTTCGTCTAATATGAGATAAAAAGATGTCTCAGTTATAATGGGGATTGTCAGTTTTTAAATTAAACCAATTTCTATACATATATTCATCCAGATGACTAAAAATAACTTGATTTTGAGAACCGTTTATAGCTCTTATCCTATTTTTTAGTCTTTCCCAGAAACCTTTTATTGAATTAGTATGAGTACCGGTTCTAGGATCGACGAAGTCATCAGAATGGTTAACTCGCTGGTGTATATATCCCAAATCGGTTAATTGGTTATATGCTGCCCATTCATCCATGTGAATGGTAGTGCCTGGCAAGAGGAGTATCTGAATAATAGGGAGGAGAGTGTCAGCACTTCTATCTGGAATAAGTTCAATAGATCCTTTCCAAATTTGGGTGTCGTAAATCCCCAATACCCAAACGTTATTTGCTCTAGCACATCCCCGATTGTATTTCTTCTTTATAAGGACCGTTTCATCGATATGAACGACAACACCGACTTCTCCTAAAACTTGTGTAATACTATTCATTTTGCACGACGATAAATCTCGACAAAATTGGAACCATTGCACAGTAAACGTCAATGTATTATCTGTTTGAGCGGTAGTTGATCTTACACCGGACTTCAAAATCCAGTAATGTCACAGAAATAGTATATTTGTCAAGGAAAGTTTCGAGTTTTCAAAGAAAGTTCCTAGAAGACAATTAACTGAGAGTATCATTTACCAGTACGAGCACTTATTCGTTTCCTACTCTCTGAACATCTAAATATATATCCATCAATGACCTGTGAATACGGTTGCAGGTTCATAGAAGCACCACAACTACATATCCGAGTACGTCCTATTAATCTTTTATCTAGGCAGTACTGAAATTTGCATCTGAGCAGATGAACACCGTTCATTTTCGCGCTAAAATAATGGTAAATTTCCTCAACCAACGACTAGCAAGCGTTCAAGGTCATTTGAGCGTTCGCACTCCTGGGACACTATTGTTGAACTTCGCCTACATATTATCACCAACTGTCTCCAGTCATTGATTCTTAATTAGAATCCCTAGGATACCAATCAGACAGACTATACCTCCCTCCCTATATGAGTGGCTCAAAGTATAACTGTCAAATATTTCATAGACTGATGCGAGAGTTTAGTTTGGTTACTCTTAACTCTTTACCAACCTAATTGTGTGTCAGTTAACGTTGGTTGCTAAGGTAGGCGATGTCTCGGGATGCACAACACACTTGTCTTAACCATCACAATCGCATCGATTGACTCACCCTGTTTGCTTGTCTAACACTCTGTTTCATCACTTTTCAAATGTTGACTGTGGATGTGAAATAGTCAATCACTTTAAGTTTCTCAGACTGTTTTTATTTTACTAAACAGTTATAGAACAGTTATGAACTAACACAAGATGTTCTTGTTACATTGGTTAAACAATTCTGCGGGTATTTAACTTTCTTATTGTTTTAAGAGTTAATTTGTAAGCCTGAGCGTTTGTCTCACTGCATAAAATTCTTTTGTGATCAACTCTTCTTAAAGATATTTTACATCAGAAAATGTGTAGATAAATTGACCATAAATCACTGTGAAAAAGAAAAATTGGTTACACCACTAGTGTGCTGATACTATATGTGCAAAATAGTTGAGAGTCTAATTGCCTTTATGATTTCTCTGGGGCAGAAATTATGAGTGCTTTAATAGTAGATGCTATGATAAAAGCCTCACAGTAGTTTTTGATCTAAAGTGGAAACAACTTAAAAATGTAGGATGTCTTCTACGGCACATATTGTGAGCCTAAAATGTTAATAACGTGCATCATCACAATATAGGGTTACTTTTTTTTCTAATATATTACAAAAGGGTGTTCAAGTTCGAAGGTGGTTATGGTCTCTTGAATGAATAATAATAATAATAATCTACTTTATTCCGAAAACAGTACTTATAATATAGAATGGAATTCTCAGCATTTGTCCACAATATTGCATCTGATTTACTTAAAATATAAATAAAATTAAAACAAAATTAACCTGAGGAATTTGTCCACATTTAAAGTCAAAAATATTCAAAGTATAAATTGAGAATATTAAATATAATAATAATAATAATAATAATAATAATAATAGTGAGTTTGTTTATAAACAGTATTGTCAATTCAGTTTGGAAATTTTAACACGTTATAGATTATTGGATCTAATGTTCTGTTGATATAGTATGGTGAGAGGAAATACAAAATTAACAGTTATTCACACAGCTTAAATGATGTTCACACTTATGGAAAAATAAACAAACAAAAACGAAAAATTGAGAGGATTACAAAATTTAAGAGGAACAATAACAATAAAGGTTGATGTTGTAAGGGCGGAGGAAAATTGTTTATTTAGTAGTGCAAAGAAGGTTAGTTAGTTCATGTCTAACACTACGTGCCAAATATGGTATGGTGGAATTTTTATACTTAGACCTACTTGCATAAAGTCTTGAGATGACTTCTAGTTTTACCTGAGGAGACACAAGGTTGGAGCTGTGGGTGGTAAAGTGGATGCTCACAGTCTGAAAAAATTCCTTTAGCAAATTTGTTGCATGACATCAAGTGCCTACCAATGACACTGTCAACGATATGGTCCAACGGGATATCACTCGCCCTACTGACAGTCTTCAGAGTTCTACGAAGTATGACATAGTCTTTTTTAAGCAATCCAGGAAAGAATAAGGGTGAACAGTAAAGAAGAATAGGTGAAATGCACGAGTTGACAAACTGTAAGAAGAGGAGGGGTTGAGTTATGCCTGAATGCTGTAACTTCTTAATGTAAAAAGTCAGACGAAATATCTTTTTAGAAATCTCTAAGACATGGGAAGACCAGGATAGGTCAGAAGAAAGAAATAATCCAAGATACTTAACTTCAGACTTGATTTCTATATCAGTATCATCAATTATACAACGGCCAAGGGAACTAACAGCTTCAGTATTTTAACTTTCCTTTACATCGGAAACTGAAATTAACAGTCTGACATTTGGAGGGATTTAGTTTAAGACCATTTGCTAACTCCTAACTCTACATTCCATCATCATACTGTATGAACTGGAGATCCCATATTTGACACTAGATGAGTTCGTTAGTGTACTACTGAAATTTCAGAATCATCAGGGAATATACACATTAGATCATAGGAAAATATTAAAAAGACAGTTGTAGAGATGAAAAGGTTCTTTTCGACAAAGTCAGCGTCAACACTAGGCTATACTTTCGTGTATTTAGAGTGAATGGGTGAGAAAGTTCCCCAGCCTATTTCCGGTCAAGAGTCAAGTTAATAAAACTGGAAAGTGTAATACGCGGGAAGATCGGACAAAGGCATAGTAGAATCATAATTACTGAGAAAATTGACATTGTGTATAATTTAGGGACTAAAAATGTTTTAATGACGAAATAGACAGTAAGTTTTTCGATAAAAAAACAGTGCTGTAAATCAGGACTAAAAAAACGTAGAAATAACAGAAATAAAAAGAAAGATTGGACAAGAAATATAATAGGATAATCATCATTGAGACAACTGACTTTTCATAATGGCCATAAGAGAGACAACAACGACTGAACCTATTTCTTTCTAATACATAGAGTTGGCTTGAATTTCTGGATCACTAGTACCTCAGCTATGTCTAGACGATTTGATCTCACTCCTTTTGAGAACCTTCACCGCTAGATCGTATCCTGCATATGACTTTGAAATACTTTTCAAATGGAGTAGGATTTCCCGAGTTCTCCTTTTGCTAGTCAGCCAGGCTGGATAGTGTTCCTGAGCGCGATTTACAAGGGGACATTTGGTACAGCCAGTGTGTTCAGCTCCACATGAACAAGCAAACTGGTGTATGCGTGCTGAGGTGAGGTGGTGGCCCAATACTACGGCTTTTCTTTCGCTTACTGGCTAGTTGAATAGTTTCTCGCAAGAAAACGTCACTCGTAGGCTGGTGGCGCGGGGTAGGTTACACTAAGAGATTTGAGAAGTCGTTTATGTGTCAGTTTTAAATCCAAGATTAAGCAGTAACATCTTTATGGGGATGACTTGAACCTTTTCAGACATTTTCTTTGGTTTTAGATTGTTGTCTATAAATCTCGGGGGGCGGGGGGCATTTTCTGTCAAGTTTCCTCAGAGATTTTGTAGGTCTTCGTCAATAGATTCTTGGGTACACACTTTCCAGGTTCTTGTGGAAGGAGAATATATGAAGTTTCTCTTTCTGCTTACGGGAATAGAACTCTGGAAATTGATAAATCTAATCTAATCCATGTTGGGTTTTTGTATATAGACCTCTACAACAAGTTTTTAGCATTTCTTTCCAGTTGAACATCGAGGAAATAGAACATTGTATCAAACTGAACTTCTAGAACGGAATGTAGTGAATTTATATGAAGTGGGCATTATTGAAGGTCTGAAGTAAGGCTTTCAAGATCCAAATTCTTATCACAAATAATGAAATTATCATCAATGTATCTCTTGTAGAGATACAGAGCTCACTGATAGTTGGTGATGTGGAATTGTTTTCAATAGGCGTTGAATTGGTCTTTAAGTGAATGTTTTTACTTATTATCAGAAGTTTGTCATCACTTTTTTGTCGGCACTCTAGGGATTGTTTTCAGTTATTATATTTTTGAGTGAAGTATTTCACACAATTTTATGTCAATATATTGTTGTTATCCTTTATACTAAATACATTTATTTATTTTTTTATTCTATCTCATTTTGAATTGAATATTTAAAGAATCTAGTTTTCATGCTATGGGGTGCTAATGCTCAGAAACAAGGTCAAACAATTGATCGTAATCGCCACTTAGTGTTGAATGCACCGCATCCATCACCTTTGTCTGCAAGTCGTGGATTTTTCGGTTGTGGTCATTTTGTCAAAGCAAATGAATATTTGAAAAAGCATGGAATGAAGCCAATTGATTGGACAAAATTAGACTGATACATTCACATTCTTTTTTTATCATAACAGATTAGATTATAATTTTTATAACCATTGCATTTCACCTATGCATTTATATTTTTTCATGTATATCATCGGTTTAAATCGTCATCATCAACATAGCAATAATAAATGTCTCCATAATATTACTACTTTTTTCATTTTTGATTCTTGACTGTGCTCTTGTGGTTCTGAAAGACAAATTGATTTCTTAGTGTCTCCAGGACTCTCAACCAGCAGTCTGTGTCTCCCTGTGAGACACAACTTTTTATGGTTGGATATCGTAAACAGGTGTCTTTGAATGTAATTTATTGCATGGTGGTGACTAGCAGTGGGATCCAGGATGCGTATTACGTCCTATTTGGTAGTCGTCATCTGGATGTATCTGCATTACTCTCTGAGACTGGAGCCCGAGGACCAATCGTTTCAAACTTCAAAGCGCTAACCATTTAGGCCACGAGGGTGTTAGTTATTATTTATGTATGATTCAATTCTAGTTTTGCCGTTGATTGACTGGACCGAAATGTTCAGCCTCAGAGGGAACAACATTACTCACTGGGGAATTCAGTCACATTCAGTTGATGAGTCCCAAATAGGACGAAGTGCTCATACTTTGGACTCCACTGCCAGTTATTAGTATTACTATTATTATTGTTCCCTTGGTTTTCGAGTGGAACAATGGTTTTGCAACAACACATCTCCACTTTATGCTATCTCCTGCCGTTCTCTTCAGCTTGTACTACGATTGCCCACAATCTCTCATCTTGTCTTCACACGACCTCCTCCAAGTCATATTAGGACGACTCACTCGTCACTTCCCATTTGGATTCCACTCGAGTGATGGCCCGCATTGAGCGCGATGTCATTCGACGGTTTGCTCAACTTATGCTCGATCCATTTCCATTCCCTCCTACATACTTGTTGCACAGTCGTCTCTTGGATGGTTTGTTGCCAACCAGAGTTTCTTTTTACTAATTCTTTCTGCCATTTGATCTTCAGTAGGGGGATTCAGAGAAGGTAGCCGTTGATGAAGGTTTGCAACCTTTTGGAAATCCTCCAAGTTTCTGACGCGTATAGAAGAACCGTCTTGATGACATTGGTGTTGAAAATCCAAATCTTGTTCTTTATGCTAAGTTAGTGCAGATTTCCAAACTGCTTTCAGGTTGAAGGCGTATGTTGCCTTTCCGATTCTGACTTTGACATGTTCATCCGTTCCGCCTGTAGTTGAAACGATGCTTCCTAGATAGGTGAAAGAAGTAACCTATGTTAAATGTCTCCCATCAGTGGTGAATGGTACTGGTTGTTGTTGCTGCTATTGCTGTTGTTTGGTTATCTTCGTCACCTCTGTCTTCTCTATGTTCACCTGGAATCCCGTCTTTGCTGCTGGCCTCTTCTGATAGTTTGTTGGTTTTCGCCCATAAGTCCTCGAGTTTATGTGACATTAGACATATGTCATCTGCGAAATCCGGATCTTCTAGAGTCTTCTCATCGTTTGGTCCAGCGTACCCATGCCTCCTCGCTCCAGCCCACCACAATTAGGAATATCATCAGTGACAATAGGCAGTTTTGTCTTACTTCTGTATCTACTGCTAGCTACTATCCACCAAATTACTTCTAGGTAATCCTTAGACATCATCGGAGCATCTGCACAAAGGAGCCGATATGTCAACAGAGGTCAAAAGTTGAATGAAAAATGAATACCATTTTAGTGTAGGTCATTCGTCGAACCTTTGGCTTGGCAAAATTGATATCGGTGTACATTTCATATCTTTGACTACATATTCGTTATAAAAGATGATTGATCTCTATCTGTGGGTATTTTGGTGAGGCTATTGTCATGTATTTTCAACTGGATTATTCAGGGATGTATGGAAGATTGAAGAAGTGCCTTTGATATGGATGGAATGAAGCCATTATCCTCCCCATCTTTAAAAAGTGTCGATGTAACTCATGTCACAATCAGAGTGGTATCAGTCTGCTATCAGCTGCCTCTTAAATATTGGCTGATGTCTTGCTTCTCAGGCTGCGCAAAACATGTGAAGGGTTGATTTGCGAAGAGCAGGTTGAGTTTTCTCTAGGTTGTGCATGCATTGATCATGTGTTCACCCTTCGTCAGTTGTTGGAAAACTGCCATACGTATTGCAGGCCAACAGTCGCTACATTTCTTGATATTAAGGCTGCCCTCGATTTGTTGGACTTTCTGGAACTGTCTGTTAGAGAGAGGTGTACCTCAGAAGTTTGTTAACATCTTGAAAGCCCCATACAGAAACACCTCGGGTAGAGTGAGGGCATACAACCAACTATTATCATTGTTCCCAACCAACGATGGGGTTAGACAGGGTTGCCAAATCTCTTCATTTCTCTTTAACTTTACCATCGATGACATTCTGGAGTCAGCTCTGAAGGATCAGCGTGAAGGTGTTGTAGATGGAGATAGACTTTTCGACCTTGAGTATGTGGACGATATTGTCTTACTGTGCGATAGCATGCAGGCTTCCCAGATCGCACTTAATCAGTTTGCGATCAATGTCTGTAAGTATGGTTTGTGCTTTGCTTTTTTAATTTCTTTAAAATTTTAATTACGGCTTGAATCCACACTGTATTTTTGTACAAATATGAAATTTTCTGCATGTGATATCGGTAGCCCAAATTTTGCAGGTCGACAATAGATATCAGGTGTGCGTCGGCAGGGAATCGAACACCGGACCGTGTGCACGGTCGGCGAGAGTCCTAACCGCTGTTCCACCGACGCAGCTGAGGATCACTACTGTGACAATGGTTGAGTTTTGTCATTAAGAGCATCCCAAATAGCGTCCGTCACATCGTAAGACTTTCAGAAAGGGAAGAAAGGTAGAGATCACAAGGGGTGTCAATGTAGTTGAAGATAGAACGATCAATTCATGGTTGCTTGCTCAAAACCAACTTCCCCGATTTTCGCGGAGGCATCAAGACGACAGCCATCGTCTCATCGGTCGCTGTTCAGAAAGAAGTCAGGAGACAACCGTCAGAAGTAATATTGTGATTTATTATTGTAATATTTGTTCATGGACCTTAGTTGTAAAGTTGGCTATATGTTGGTGTTACAATAAAGAATTCTCGAGTCGCCAATCGGTGTTTTGGTTTTTGCGTCCGTTATTACTAAGCGTTTCTGAGAAACTTCAAGGAACAGCGTGAGGCCCAGCGTAGCAAGAGCTGGGCATTAACGGTTTACGAGACGTAACCGACAAGGGGGTTGCCAAAAGTTTCGACTCACATTTATCATTTATGATAACGTCTTCTTGTGTTGGGTCACACTATCCGTTGTAATTTTTATTAATCCTGTGGCATCAATTCGTGAACTACCAACCGTTCTGTTTTTCACTACTACGAATAGCGAACAGCGAGATTTACGAAATTCGTTTTTTTCAAATTGTTTCCACATGCTTGAAACATCGAAGTTCCGAATCCAAGATGGACATTTAGTGCAAATTCTTCATACTTAGGGTCCATCCATTTGATCATTCATTCTACTATCTTCTGAGTTAGGGTGTCATTGTAGGTGTACGTTTTCCTTACTGTTATGCATCATTTTGTTCTCTAGGATGTTTTTAATTTTTAAGAAGACTGTTGCAGACAGTGGTGTACAGAAAAATATTCTCCTGCCAATTATTTTCTTAGCCTCCGCTATCCCCTCCACTACGTAACATGCAGGATGAGGTTCCTAATTTTCAATGAATATCAGAGTAATTCTTCCCTCCACCCTATCGCCTTAAATTCTGGTAGGTTCCGAGGGAAATTATATGGGAGATTGGTTATATATAATTTACAGCACGCAGTGTGTTGAGATCGTAGTGCTTCTGTGATCCAATTCATTCTTTTTATCCGGTGTGGTCAAAATCGAGATATAAGTAACAGTAGCATAGCTGACGGCAAGTATTTATACTCAGAAAGAACGGACAAGTTGATGTGTAATTAAAGTAGGAACAGTTAAATGGATGAATAGGCGGTATAAGAAAAGTGAGACAGAGAAGGCTGTGTGGTTGTTAAGGATGAAAATGACTGAAAATCGAATGGGCGTTGTCAAATGTCCAGGTCTAACTACACTGGACTTCACACTGTCCTTAGAAGACTTTCAGTAACTATGTCCAATAACCAACGCAAAATATCAGAACACAGATTGGTGACCCAAGAATCCTTTATTCTTGCACCAATATAGAAGCCACCATAAAGTTATTGTACACAAAGTCTAAAAATAAATGTCATAACTATAATCCCAATAACATTCTGATAATATTTCTACATCTTCCAACGAACAGCGAACGATGGAACGATGACTGCAGTATCAATGACTCCCGCCGAAATATGGAGTTGAGTTTGAGCGAACAACCATGAATTGATCGTTTAATCTTCAGCTACATTGACAGGCGTGTTATCTGAATGTTATGCCTATGTTCGGTGGACTGGACTCAGTATGTGTATTGTTGCATGATTATGCAACCTCCACCAAAGACCTTCTGCCTAAGGCTCAGTAACCATGGGGATTGGTCTAGACGTGTTTCCAGAATGTAAAGCATGGTAACCCTGCAACATGAGCTTTTTATTTGGGTGGCCCGGTCATTTTTAATCTCATGAGTAGTGATCAGATCACTTTTAAGAGAGCGGTACCTGTGTATAAAGGCAGCTTTAGGAAACTCTCCGGTGTGACGGTGCCTAGCTCTACATGTGAGGAGGGTACAAGTGCATACACATTAGTTCCGCCACCCGGGTATTTCGCAATTTAGTCACCTCGTTAGAACGAAATCTGGGTCACACTGACTTGCTTGGGACAAGTCGTCGTCAGACTGGGAGTAAATTACCCTCTACGTTTTCGAATACATGTATGTATCGCCTGACCCCATTAGAATTGAAAAACATTCTACTTACCTGCGCCTGGTCTTCCATAGATTTCAAGGATGTTACTACTCTTCAAGTCTCTACACAATGTGTATTAAGAAGAAACGGGCAGCCCATACGTCATGGAAGGTCAAAGGTGAGAATTAAATTCATTGAAGGCGGTAGAACAGGCTCTTGTTGGCCTGCGAGGCGGACTGTGCCAAAATGAATGGACACCACTGATTTTTGCGCAGAGAGCCCTTAAGTCTAACTTACTCCTAGACAGTGACAATATTTCGCCGCCAATGCCCACATGGACTATTTTGTGATGGATATTGTTATTTTCATTAGCGCAGAATTTCTCTTATGATTCTTCCCCTGATTTCCTGATTACCTAGCTGGCAGAAATTAATTTAATTATTTTGCTGATACTATGAACAGAGTTATTCGTTGAAGTTTCTGTAGCAATTTGGTGGAGTCAGCAGACATGCTGACTCCATTATTGCAAAAGGTCTGGAAGGAGGGAAAGGCGCCTGCTGACTGTAGGAAAGGTTACCTCGTGAAACTACCAAAGAAGGGCGACTTAGGCCTCATTCTGCAAGAAGTGTCGAGGAATCATGCTCCTGTCGACGCCAAGTAAAATCCTGAGTCGCATCATCCTGGAGAGAATAAAGGACGCACTGGAGACAGAACTCCGACCAGAACAAGCTGGATTCTGGAAAGTCAGGCAAATCATGTACTGACCAAATTGCAACTCTACGCATCATCATCGAACAAAGCATGGAATGGCAATCAAACCTCTACCTCAACTTTATAGACTTTGAGAAGGCCTTCGACAGCGTTGATCGTGAAATAATTTGGAAATTACTCGAGTACTATGGCGTACCCCAAATATTCATCAACCTTATTCAACAGCTGTACGACAACGGAACGTGTCAAGTGATACACAACGGAAAACTCCGCGAGGCGTTTCGAGTAAACGCAGGAGTCAGACAAGGGTGCTTACTATCACCAATGATATTCCTAATTGTGGTGGACTGGATTATGCGTCAGACTGTGGGAAACGAGAAGACAGGAATATCCTGGACCGACGTGAAGAACCTAGAAGACCTGGATTTCGCGAGTGGATGATTTATGTTTGATGTCACACAAAATCGAAGACTTACAAGCGAAAACCGACAAACTGGTCGAAGAAGCAGCAAAGACAGGACTCCAGGTAAACATAGACAAGATGGAGATTATGAAAATAACCAACCAACAACAGCAACAACATCCAACGTCAATCACCATCAACGGAAGGGATTTGAAAGAGGTTACTTCATTCACTCACCTATCTAGGGAGCATTGTCTCAACTACAGGAGGAGCGGACGAGGACGTCAAATCGAGAAGGCGAGAAACACATTCATCAGCCTGAAATCAATCTGGAAATCTTTGTCACTCAGCCACCATCAACAACAAAATTCGGTGGGATTTTCAATACAAAGGTCAGGTTAGTCAGTTCTTCTATACGGATCAGAAACTTGACGGGCGGGTCACAAAGTATATTTCCAAAAGGCTGCAGACCTTTATTAACAACTGTCTTCGCTCAATGCTGAAGATCAGATGGCCGGAAAGAATCACCAACAAGGAATTATGGGAACAAACAAAGCAAGAACCAATCGCCCAACAAACATGCAGGAGAAAGTGGAGATGGATCGGACACTCGCTGAGGAGACCTCTGGGTGACATCGCGCGCCAAGCCCTCGAGTGGAACCCGAAAGGGGCGTGTGGGACATGGAGGAGATCGTGTATAGAGGAGTTGAAAGAAGATGGATTAACATGGATGCAGGCGAAAAGTATTGCAGAGGACAGAAGAAAATGGAGACGTGCAGTTGAAGCCCTATTTCCACTAGGAACCCAAGGGAGCAATAATAAAATAATAAATGAACAGAGTTCGATTCGTTATAGCACAGTTCAAGATCGTCTCCTTACGTGATTTGAGAAGTGCATGGAAGTTAATATTTTGTCATGCATACTGCTACATTATGAATTAAAACTGCAAGTCACAAACTTGCAATGCCTAAAAGACAAAATCTTCATTAATTGATTGACAAACCATGGTACTGTCTATGAACAACATATTCAGCGATGCATATCCTAATTCATACAGAATGGTTGGCATTCAGTAAAATGCTGTGATTTCGCGAACCTTATTTTTATGCAAATAACTATTCCTCTTCTACTTGAGGTCGAGTGGAATACTGCATTTTTCAGTTCAGTCTTTGAAACCATACTTCAAAAATTTTGTTTAGAGCCACTATCCTCCAAGCCCAACCCGTAAAATCTGTTATTCGCCGATTCAGCGTGCTCGCGGTAATAAATTCTTCGCCAAGGAATAGCATAGTTTTACGGTATTTTCTTTTGGTTGAGCACAGTTCCGTGGTAAGGAAACTGTAGTTAATAGGAGTCGTGTTGATGAACAGAATTAAATAACAAGGCGACTTCAAAGCGTTGCTAAAGTGAAGTTTCCCAGGATATGTAATGTGGTTAGAGACTTAACTCAGGACAGCCTAAGAATTGAATAAAGATATCAGGCGCTTAGTTTGTCTTTTTTTTTATTTACAGCTTGATTCCACACTGCATTTTTGGTACAAGTATGGAATTTTCAGCATGGATATCGGTGGCCCAAATTTTGCAGGCCGACCATAGATATCAGGTGTGCGTCGGTGGGTGCTCGAACCCCGGACCATATGCATGGTCGGCGAGAGTCCTAACCACTGTGCCACCGACGCACCGGTGAAATGTGACTTCCCTCAGTGCAAAATTGCAGAACCAGCTCTCTTTCAATAATATGTCTAAATGAAGTACTGTTGATAATTAATTTATTCTGTCCAATGTTCGCTAGTGTCAATCACCTCTATATGCCCTATAGAATATCAGCAATTGACTTGTTTTAATTTCAGACGGAGTTTAAGTTGGCAATGGTCTTTGGAATGTATTACTTGTCTGTATGTAATTTTCCTTACTCTCGCAGTAACATATGGTGTTGTCCACAAAATGGCTGCACTCTGTTAGCTCCTACCAAGTAAAAGGATTTGGGAATGACAGTAAACTATTATCTCACAGTTGGATATTCCAAGGCTTGTATTAATCTTACGGACTACCCTGTAGTTCTCTGTTGGCATTTAATGTTGTCGTATTTCTACCTATTCTTGGAAAGGGATCTAGATAGCCACTTCATGTTTCCGGAGTGGAGAAACATATTGATATATGTGGAGAGAGCAGAGTACAACGGATTCTCAGATATCCAACAAAAAAGGTACAATGACGGGATTTCTTGATAGTCATATCGGTGACGCTGAACTGAACTCGTTATCACTGTGTAAACAAAATAATAATTTAGGCATCTGTGACTTCCCATCAATTTATTCATTATGCAGTCGATCACTTGCAAGGACAGCACCGAAGGGTTAAAAAATGGTTATGTGTTTTCGAAGTTGTTCACCAGTTCCATTAACTATCGAAACTAGACATTCATGTACCTATAGTCGATTCAGAAAAGTTAAGCTTTAGTCAGTGAAATTATGACGAATTCCTCTAACATTTTTAGGGAGAGTTTACCTAATTAATAAAAAAGATTTCTTTTATCATTTGCTTGCGCAGAGTAGGAAAGATTAACTAATATTGACGTTTACGTTAATTGCGATGTATACCTACGCCAGTTCTCATATCCACAACTGTTGCAATACTTGCTCTGCGTAGACCATAAGCAAACCAAGACAGTAAATTAATCGTCCAGAATACGAAATATAATTCGGGATCAAAATCTGCATGCGATGTTGAGTGCTTAATTACCTGGGTATGAAGTTAGAAGAGGAACCTTACACAACGTTGTGCTGGATAGGGTTAATAATTGACGGCGAGCCTTCAGCTTAACGAGCTGACTTAATTACTGGGAGTCAGCACCCTATGGCGGGTGAATAATGCTATAGCCTAAGAATCTTGGAGATTTATTTACCTCATCAACACTGCTGGTGGCATACATAAACCAATTTTTTTGGTTTATGATAAAGGTTTTTTTTTTTATTTTTTTTTTAATTTTTGATTTACAGCTTGATTCCACACTGTATTTTTGGTACAAGTATGGAATTTTCAGCATGGATATCGGTAGCCCAAATTTTGCAGGCCGACCATAGATATCAGGTGTGCGCCGGCATGGGCTCGAACCCCGGACCATGTGCATGGTCGGCGAGAATCCTGACCACTGTGCCACCGACGCACAGTGGTTAAGGTTTCACTTAGTTTTTAAGTTTAGGTTGTGGTTTCAATCAGAATGAGTCCAGGTTTTGGGCCAAGAATAAGGTAAAGTTATCCTTCCAATAAGTCTTTACATTTAGGTTTACAATTTATCAGCACGTTGAGGATTTTTGAGATTGAATGATTCAGTTTAGTTGATCATGATAATCTGATGTCTGTTATCCTGTTACTCAATTTAATATAGATTGCAGACCAAATAGGAGGCACATAATGTAAGTGTAACACTTACTATAACATTCTTCTGAGAATTGTACCCTGCAGTATTCGAGCGCTTTTTGAACGTCGGCCTTGACTTTAAGGTCGTGTTTGCATGCCTCGTAAGTGGTGGGTTATTTTTATTTTCATTGTTCCATAGTGAAACTTGATTTCTTATGACAAGATGGAAGTCACTGGCGTTTAGTCTGAAAGTTTGGGGTGAGAAAACGCCATTAGACAATAAGATTAAAAATAATAGTTAGGATACACATATGTTTTGTTTGTTACTGGAGTGTAGTTCAGTCTACTTATCTTTTAACATAGGAAGTTAGTCTTATGCACTCAGTGTAACTTATCCAGTGTATATACCTCAAAATGTTTATAATTTAGTAGTGTTAGTGAATTTGCTAGGATCCGAGTAGAGAATGTTATATGTTACTTCTGATATATGTTATGTATAAATGTATTTCATTAAGCTTCTGAAAGTAAATTTTTGGAGGGCATTGGTTAATTTTAAGCTTCACGATCACTTCGATTGCATCATCACCTAGGAATACTTGAATTGAACTGTTCATTCACAGGATTTTCACCCTATTTTTCACTTGAAATTCGTAGCAACATTTCTGATGTCAGTGCTTCATATTATTTTACAGATGGGGAAGAAGAATAATTTCAGTTATTCACGAAATCGAAAGAAGTTGGGCAGGAAGGAAAAAGCCAAACTGAAAATAAGAAAGTAAGATAAGCAACATGCTGGAAAAAGGTTTTGTTTTACGTGAGGTTCTGTATATTTAAAAGGTTCGACACGGGATTCTGTCCTGTTTTGAGTCTGTTCCCTACTATTCGTTAAATGATTTTTGAATGGTCCCTGTAAATATTCTATTATATGCAAATAATCAGAATGCACCTTGCTAATTTTGTGTAATTTTCTCTTTAGGTTTAGTAAACGTGAACATCCCTCTATCTTGAAATATCTGAATAATATCTTGATCTGCTAGCGTGATTTCTGAAAAGCCAAGTGGTCACTTCACAGTAGTTTTGGTGAAAGGATTGGTCAGGATATATTTTATGACTGAGTTGATCGTGGTTTTGTCATGAATTTTTAATCGGGCTGATAAAGTATTCAACTTGATACATCTCAGAGCCAGAATCTTCATAGGAATGCTTAATTTGCTTACAGTTTACGGTTGCTGTCATTGAGCTACGCTTGATATACGTATGCCAATGCTAATACGAGTTCTTAAATATGAGCATTGTGACTTAACAAGATCATTGGTCATCCTATCTTTGTGATAATTTAAAAGTGAATAGGCTGTATACCCCGATATGCTTCCCTTGTCTTGATTTCACTAAGTTAATACACTACTCTTGTCAAATATATCTTGAAAAATACCTGTAAGCGAACAATATTGTTTTGAATCGGGTCTCACCAGGCTTAACTCTTATATAGCATTTTTTTTAAAAAGTATTAAGTACAAACCAGTCACTATGATTAGTTAGTAGGATGGTAAGATTTTGCAGTCAGTCATAATAAAACGATTCTATCAATAACAAAGATAAAATACGACAGCTATCTGTGATAAAAAGAATAGTGAAAACTGCATGATTACACAAATAAATGTTCAGGTAGACGTGGTCAATGAAGACTAACAAAAACAAATGGTCCTGTTAAGTAATTCTAGATTGTAAGGGGAGTAAATAAATTATGTTTCAGCGAAGATGTTATTAGATTGGGGGGGGGGTTGAGAGATGAGAGATTAAAAGCCTAAGTAGGGGGTCGCGATGACGTCATCAGTAGGCTTGGTTTTAGTAGGTCAAGGAATAAATAATGCATGTACGAACTTCTTTTAAATGCACAGTTTAGGCTTCATGACCTTTTCTTTAAACGATTCTTCCAAGCGACTCATCTTCTCGCCTACTTAGCAGGATACTCAGTAATTAGTTTTTTTATCTTGCTTCTCCTCACAAGTGAAAGTAAATGAAGGGTTTTATTACTGTTATTATTGTTCCCTTGGGTTCGGAGTGGAAAACAACAGAACAACTCCACTTTCTCCTATTCTCTGAGGTTCTCTTCAGCTGACCCCAGGATTTCCCATAGTGTTTCATCTCTTCACATGATCTCCTCCATGTCACCCTCGAAGTGACGCCCAACTGATCGTTTCCCAAACAGGTTCCAGGGAGCAGGCGTGGGTTCAGACCATTGTCTAGTTCAAGGGACGCTGAAGACCATACTGAAGGCCTTCACAAAAACTGAAGACACCACAATTCAGGTTGTACACTCACAAACTGAGAGACGAAACCACAAAAGATACCTTCAGTGATGCCATCAGAGCAAAGAGGGAGACACTATGTATCATCAGTGAGGAGACCTGCGTGGAAGAACATTGAATCTCTCTCAAAGTGATTTTCAAGGAAACGTGTGTAACGTTGTTAGGAAGGAGGACTAGAAAAGACGGGGATTGGGTGTCTATGGACACCTGGAAACTGACAGAAGAGAGGGGAGGAGGATGGTGAAGCAGAAGATGACTCAATACAGAGATGAACAACAGAAGGAGAAACTGAGTTTAATGTACATCTCACTGAATGAAGAAGTGGGGAAGAGTGATAGGCGAGATAAAAGACATTTCTACGACACACTAGCCGGCGACTAAAGCAGAAGAGGCAGTTCTCAGTTAAAAGAGACCTCAGAACATTACATGAGATAACCAGGTCTCTATCCGGGAAAAGAGCTCAGCCAAGATGAAACCTATGAAGGATGTTCAAGGGGATCTATTTGCCAAGGGAGAGAGACAAAGAAGACGATGGGTTGATCAATTCAAAGGAGTCTTGAATCAGCCATCACCTGCAACTCGTTCACAAACACCACCACCATCGCCACCAGCAGACACAGAACTGCCAGAAGACAATTATCCTCCAACAAAATCAGAAGTCTTCAATACAATCAAGTTACTGAAAACCAGTTGGGATGGGGCATCATGACCGGACAGAATTCCTCTTGAGGCACTGTATACGATTCCAGAAACAGCAGTGGATATGCTGACGCCACTATCGCAAAACATTTGGAAGGAAGAGAAGGTACCTACTGATTGAAAGAAAGGTTACCATGTCAAACTACCAAAGAAGGGAGACTTGTACCTCTGCCAGGACTGGTGCGGAATCATGTTCTTATTTTGCGTCGAGAAAAATGCTAAGTCGCGTCGTCCTAGGGAGAATAAAAGATGCACTGTGTGTTGAATTGAGATACGAACATGTTGGCTGGATTGAGGAAAAGCAAATAATATGCGGGTCAAACAACAACACTATGCATCATCATGGAACAGAGCATAGAATGGCAGTCAAACCTCCACCTCAGCTTCATTGAATTAGAAAAGGCCTTTGACAGTGTTGACCGTGAAGTAATTTGGAAACTACTTCAACACTATGGAGTGGAGTGCCCCGAATCATTGTAAGCCCTACTCAACAGTTATATTACAATTCCACATATCAAGTGATCTACAACGGAAAACCCAGCGAAGCCTTTTCGGAAAAGAATGCAGGAGTAAGACAAGCCTCCCTACCTACTATCTCCTAAGGTATATATTCGTAATCGTGGTGGACTTGATTATGCGGACGACTGTATATGGAAAGGGAAAAGACAGGAGGACGGTCGACCAATAAGATGATTCTATGATATCTGGATTTCGCTTATCATTTATGTCTAGTGTCACATGAATTTTAAGGCTTCCAGAGGGAAACCAGTAATTCGGTTGATTTGGCTGGCATCGAAGACAGGATGTCAAATGAGGATTGAAAAGACGGAGGTGATGAGGATAATTAAACACACCTGTCAACAACAACGAGAAGCATCAATCTCTATCGATGGGAGAAATTTTAAAGAGGTCACTTCCTTCACCTATCTGATCAGGCATCGTTTCAACTGCAGGCGACAGCACGGATGAAGATGTCAAAACCAGTCAAAATTGGAAAGGCAACGCAGACCTTCATCACTCTAAAATCATTTCAGAAATCTACACTCTGCAGCATTAGGAACGAGATCCGAATTTTCCACACCAATATTGAGTGGACCAATTGTTCTACATATGTCAGAAACTTGCACTGCACATCACAAAAAGCATTTTCAACAGGCTGATGCAGACTTTTATCACCAGCTGCCTACTTCGATGGCTGGCTCCATAATGAAGATCAAATAGCCGACCAGGAAGAATTAACAACAACAAACTATGGGTGGGAACCAACCAAAAACCTGTTGCTCAACGAGTACTCCAAACAAAATGGAACTGGGTCGGACACACTCCGAGGAGACCGTGGGCTGAAGTTGCACTTAAAACAGACCCTCAAGTGAAACGTCAGTGAGAAACGACGAATTAAGCATGGGTCCGGGGGTGACATAGCATATATCGAATGAGGAGGTGAAAGACTGTGAGCAATCATGCAGGCACCTGAAGGTAACCACGGAGAATAAAAAGAAGTGGAGACGTCCTGTTGAAGCCATATTTCCCACTCGGAACCCAAGGGAACAAAAATAACAGTAATAAAACCCTTCATTTACTTTCACTTGTGAGGAGAAGCAAGATAAAAAAACTAATTACTGAGTATCCTGCTAAGTAGGCGAGAAGATGAGTCGCTTGGAAGAATCGTTTAAAGAAAAGGTCATGAAGCCTAAACTGTGCATTTAAAAGAAGTTCGTACATGCATTATCACTCCCTTGGCCTACTGAAACCTAGTCGATTGATGATTTCACCACCACCTGTGACTTTTATTTTCAATCCCTTACTACATATCATCTCTTAATCCTATCACAGCTTCACTGAAACATCGTTTTTATTTACTTCCCATACAATTCAGCATTATTTAATTGGTTTATTTGTTTTTCTTCGACTTTATCGACTATTTCCACCTGAATATTTGTTTGTTTGATCTTACTGTTTTTGATTATTCCTGTTATCACAGATCGCTGCCCCTTTTTCACCTTGGTTGTTAATAGAATCGTTATTATTATTATTATTGTGACATAGCACAATTTATGTGCACAGTCTTATTATCCTATTGACAAATCACTGTAATAGACTCATTTTTAATATTTATTTGATGAGATCTAATTGAAAAGAATACTTAAAAAACAGTAAGATTGAGCGGAGAAATATTTACTTTTTAATTAGATCCTCATCTCTGGCTCTACTCTAATATGAATATATAGCATTTTTATTACAATACGCAACAGTTTACCTATCAAGTGGCACTGATATGTTTGTTAACAATAATTAGTCAGTGTCAAAATGTCAATGGGTTAATAATCAACGAAGAAAATCAATACACATTTAAAAGGTAGAAATGGTTAGAATAAATTAATTTTGCAAGGATAACACGTAATTAAAGATGAAGTGGTCATAAAAAATAAAATAATTTGAACAATTATAATTTTTATAATTTTAAAGGTTTAGGAGGAAGGGGGCGAAGTAGTCCGATTTATACATTCATGTAAGGATGGCCAAGGTAAGGAAAGTGGCTGTACAAATTTCTTCTGAACACACAGGTTTGGCTTCTTCAGGTGGATTCCTATTGCTTCAGCTGTATGGAGAAGATGAACTCGTAAAGCAAAATTAATATTAGTAGGAATGTGACATATAATTTTAAATGCAGTATTAACGTCAACTATATGCTCATTATCTACAAGGTGTGCTAAAATAGAGCTGCGAGTGGATCTTGTTTGTCCCTTGCCTAACTATCCTGGATAATGTTCAGAAATACGATGATGAACCTGCCTAATTGTACGCCCAATGTAGCTGGCTCCGCAGCTGCAGTCAAACTGGTAGATACACATAGAAGAGGCAAATTTAGGTACTGTATCCTTATTTCTCGAACCTATAGTAGGGGTGGTTGTGAAAACACAACGTACCTCTGCTGCATAATAAGCTCTTTTAACTGCATTCTTCAGGTGCTGTGTTATTATTTCGCTGATGTTGTCACCGAGGAACTGCAGTTTTATGAACATTGGTTTTTTCGGAACTGCTGCCATACTGACTCTTCTAGGTGCTGGATTCATACTTTCCTCAATGAATTTATCTGGATAGCCATTTTTTCCAAGTAATTCTCTAATAATCTTAAGCTCCTCATTGAGGCAGTCGTCTGAACAGATTAACCTGGCTCTATGAACCAGACACTTTACCAGGTTACGTTTATATTTCAAAGGTACAAAACTGAAAAGATGAGTGTACTGACCTGTTGCAGGTTTCCTATACACACTCGTTCTTAGTGTGTCATCTTCTTTCCATGAAGACATCTAGGAATGAGATAATGTCATTAGTTTCTTTCTCCATGGTAAAGTTTATTGCTGAATGTGTATCATTGAACTTGTCAAGGATGTTTGTTCATTGCATCATTCTTGTCTTTCATAACCAGAAATTTATCATCCATTTATCGACAGTAGAAATCCAAGTCATTAATTACTCCTTTCGGTGGTCCATTCTCTTACTTAGCGAGGAAAAAATTAGCTAGGATTGGACCTAATGGGGAACGCATAGCTACATCATCAATTTGTCTGTAATATTCCTTATTGAATAAGAAATGAACATTCATTGTACATCTTAAAATAAGTTCCTTCAAGGTGGATACAGAAATCCCGATGTCTATGTTTCGTGTAGTAATCTCCTCACATATGGGGTACCTAGCCTGTCATATGCTCTGATGGTGTTCTCGTGACTTTTGTTGCCAGATCTGCCAAGGGCGATGGGATAGTACGCGACCTAATGGTTGTGTGCAAGGTTTGAAGAAGGCTGTGTGCTATATGCACGCGCCTCGCACTGATAATGTTTATTGGCGTCGGTGGCATGGCGGCTAGGACGCTCGCCGACCATACATATGGTCCGGGGTTCAATCCTCGGTCGACGCACTCCTTTACCTCGCTAAGTCAGAAATAATGCTGGTAAATAGGAAAGGTTGGGCGTGAGGCTAGCAACCCCATCCTGTAGAAATAAACACTGCTCAAGAAACTTCAAGCCTCTAGCTTGAAGCCCTATGTTTCACTGGGAACGTGCAGGAAAAAAATCTCCTAACATATAAAATCCACTGTCTTTATTAACGGTACATTGGTGAACAAGGAGGATACATCAAAAGATATCATAAACTTGTCCCTCATATTAAGACCTCTTATTTTTCCAACAATTTCAAAACTACCGTTTATGCTGTTTTACCAATTTTGACACTGACTAATTATTGTTAACAAACATATCAGTGCCACTTGATTGGTAAACTGTTGCGTATTGTAATAAAAATGCTATGTATTCATATTAGAGTAGAGCCAGAGATGAGGATCTAATTAAAAAGTAAATATTTCTTCGCTCGCTCAATCTTTCTGTTTTCTAAATGTCTAAATGGAGATTTTTTTATATTGAAAAGAATATTTTTCGCCTAAATGTCTTTTTTCTAAATGTTACCAACGTAATATTTAATATTTTGTACGTATTGATGAAGTAGTTTTTCATGTTTTATGTTAGTCCAGTAGTTGATTCCGCATGGAAGCATGGATTATCTGTCAAGTCGAATTTCAATCGTTTGGGTTTAGCTTACGATGCAAATGAAGTAGTCGGAATGCCTTGGAATCAGGTTAGTTTTTTGTTATTATCAGTATTTTTTTAATAAACTCTACTCTCTTTCTCTCTCTTATATCATATACAGGATTCAACAGTTCGTGTTGCTACTGCTGCCGACGATGATGACGATGCCCAGTTTCACAAGGATACAACTGTTGTCAAAAGTACGAATGCTTTTTTTTCTCTCTAAAAATTGTGTTGCTTTATTATTATTCTAGTGTTAGAAGAGTTGTCTAAACACAGAAAACAGAAACCTGTATTTGTATCAGAAGACGATCAATTATTTTGTATATATAATTTAGAAATGTATGCAGAAGATGACTACCTGGTAAGTTGTAATATAACTTGTCATCTTTCATCACTGTTATTATTATTAATTATAGTCTATGAGTCGAGATCCGAAAAATGTCTACCAGTTAACCCCAAAACAGATTGAACGTTTAATCAATAAGTTTAAACAAACCGCTGGCTATCAAAAGTATCTTAAGGATAAAAAGTCTGGCGATCTTATTATTGAACATTTATTCAATGAAGAACTGGTGTAAATTTTGCTTATTCTTTCGAAAAAATGTACAAATAATAATTATCATTATGAAAATAATATTGTATTTCCCAGTCATTTGATAAAAGTGTTAGAAGTTCACCGAAAGAGAAATATTGCCTATTTTGAGAAAATTGAAATGACTGACTGACTAACTGCTTTCAACGTAGAACTTTGCACAGATATGCTTCGGATCGAGTTGCCACACTCCCTCCTTGTAACATACAAAGCAAGAGAAGAGAGTAGAGAGATGAAAAGGGAGAGAGATAATAAACAGGAATGTGAGGGAAAAGCAGTAGTGAAATTGAAGAACAATAGAATTCTATTTTTTCCCATCACATTCCCAGTGAAACATAGGGCCGCAAGCTAGCGGATTGAAGTTTCTGTAGCAGTGTTTAATTTTACAGGATGGGATTGCTAGCCTCATGCCCAACCTTTCCTCCTTACCAGCATTATTTCTGGCTTAGCGAGGTAAAGGAGTGCGTCGGTGGCCGGGGATCGAACCCCTGACCATGTGCATGGTCCTCGAGGATCCTAACCGCTGTGCCACCGACGCACATAGAATTTTATTGCATATGATAAATCATAAAGTGTGAATGCATCTGCGCCATAGACAAAGAAGATTTTGAGCCATATCACCGATTGTCTCTAACCGTCATTGGTTCTTACAATCCCGAATAACCGAACCAGGAAGCCAGTCCACCTACACTTTTCTACGTGGCAGCATACTTAAACTAAGTGTTATGGATTTCATTGACTGATGCCACCATGCTTTGGTTTGACCACCACAAGCTGTCTCGTTTACAACCTGATCTTATGTTATTTAAAATTTCCCGCCAACAAAAGTGATGGCTAGGGATGCGTAACACATGTCCTACCCATCTCAATCGATGTAAACTGTTTTTTTTTCTTAATGAACATCCGACTAGCCTAACTAGGGTGTTGATTGCCTTATGTTTCTGTTCGAGGTCAAATGTGTGTATGGTAAATACTATGACATCACTATCTGACAAAAATCATGCTTTGTTGTGTGTAAATATCAATTTTAGGCTAATTCAAGGATTGTGTAATATCCGATGAATGGAGACGATCGACAGGAAACCCAGTTAGACCTAGGTTTCGAGCTTGTTGGCTGGCAATGACAAGTTAGCAAGGCGTATATCTACATTCTTGAAGAAACTCATGTCTTTTCTGAGATTTGAATCTGTACCACCCAGTGCTGCATTCAGAGGCGTTACCACTGAGCTGTTTGGGCTGGCAACTGGACGCATGGTACTAGTTACTCAATAATAATAATAGTCTGCTTTATTCCAAAAACAGTACTTATAATACAGGCATGTGATTCCCAGCATTTTTCACAGTATGGCATGGAAATAATAAATAAAAGTAGCCACAGGAATTGTACCACATTTACAGTAAGAATAAAATCGAAAATGTGCAGATGTGTACAAACTAGTGTCCAATCAAATTATTGTGTAATATATTATTGTAACACTTGGATTAACTTGGTCAATGACTAATAATTAACAATACAGTCTCTTATTAAAATGGACACTCTGTGCCTCATTCAAAACAGATTTATTTAAATCATGGCTATTTGTTCATAAACGATACTGCTTCAGTTGTAATATTCGTTTTGGGTAGCTTGTTTGTGCTCTACAAATGACTTTGGAAAGCAAGAAGTTTATATAGACAGTTTTGTTGTCATGATTTGAAAACTCTCCAGAATAGTGTCTGATCCACCCTAATTATATATATATATATATATATATATATATATATATATATATATATATCACACATGTCAAATAGTCCGGAGATAATAGAGCTACACAAAATTGTATTTCGAATAATATCAAATAGTCTATCAAATAGCCAGTCATTTAAAATCTTTGAATTGTACAAAATTCTTCATAGTTTCTATATAATCTTGAATAAATATAGTTGTGTGAATGCTTGTAGTCTTATCCTAGTTTCATTTCTTCTTTTTGCCTTTTCCAGGTTTCTTTGTACTCTTCCCACTTTTACCTACACCTTTACTTTTGCGTTTTTTTGTTCGACTTCCGGCCTTCTTTGTAACTTTCACTTCTGGTTTCATTTTCGACGGTACATACTCAACCCGTTTTCCGATACATTTCATCTGAAAATAGATTTAGAAATGAATAAATGGATGTGTTAGGAATCTAAATAAATGTAAGATAAAACTTAAAAAAACTGTTACTCCACGACAGCTTGCATTTACTTCTACTTATTCTTGTAAGACATACCTGTTGTGTGAAGGCAGATGGAGAGTGATTTGAAACTGTGAGTTGGTGTTTGAAAGTCAGGCACTTAAATGAGTAGTCTACAGCTGCATACAATGAATATGTTATGCAATTATAATTTAGGCTACAGTATTAACCATGGTGTAAAAATATTCTTCTTTTCTCCTCATTATGTTGATAAGTACTGGTCATCACTGGGTCACATGCTTTAATTACCTTTCTGACTAATTTTCACACAGATCACAACTCTCATGGGCTACTTGGGTTGTTTTGTGGTAGTAAAACTTCAGGTATATAAACATGCTTTTAAGTTGAGGTCAAGTTAAAAGGACATATTGAAGGTCAAAATAACAGTGAATATCACTAAACCAAGTAACAGGCGTAATAATACATCTACTCTGGCTGGTAACAAAACAAATCAAAGTTTACCAAGGAAGGTTTAGTGTGATGACGAATTGTTTTTGAACGCATAAAGGTGGCCTAAACTTTCTAATCGCTAGGGCTCTCACAAACTTTAGGATATGCCCCAAACACGTTTTATGTCCTGTCTCTATAATATTTTTCGCAATAGAGGAGCTAGATCGCCTGTTCTCACCATTAATGGGTTCTGTGGATTCTATTTGCCTCTGAATTCATTTAGGAATATGCTCTGAAGCCAGCTCTTACTTGCAGAGATCGATGAGTGATAGCGTCATGTCACATCACACTGCACTTATCAGTTTGAATGTACGTGTGGCCATATATACATAGGGGGACTCATCGATGTCTACAGTTAAGTGCTGGCTTCAGAGCATATTCCTAAATGGATTCAGAAGCAAATAGAATCCACAGAACCCATTAATGGTGAGAACAGGCGATCTAGCTCCTCTATTGGGAAAAATATTATAGAGACAGGACATAAAATTGATATTTCCACATATCTTTTAAACCTATCTTTAAAACGCGTTTGGGGCATATTCTAAAGTTTGTGGAAGCCCTAGCTGATAATCAGAAAGTTTAAACCACCTTTATGCGTTCAAAAACAGTTCGTCATCACACTAAACTTTCCTTGGTAAACTTTGTTTTTATAGCAGGCAGGGTAGATGTACTATTATTTCTGTTACTTGGTTTAGTGATATTCATTGTTATTTTGACCTTCAATATATCCTTTTAACCTGACCTAAGTCTGTTTTCTCGCCTCTGAACTCTTTATTAGTTTCATATGACAAGACCATGTGTGATCAGATTTTTTGAAATAAGTGTCGCGCAAATACATTACACGATTTAGACAAATTACGTCTTACTGCTTTGTCAAAATTCACATAAAGGGAACTAACTGTTTTAAATGTATTTAAGTGTTATTAAAATAGATGCATATCTAGCTGTCATTCTTTGAATATTTTGATATATCATATACTTCATGGAAAATACCGATTAAGACATAGAAAATCAACACATAATAATGAAGGTGATAATAATTTACAACGTGATATGAAAGTTCGAAATTGTGAATGTAGATTACAAGGAGCTTAGAAACAAAATTACACAGGATTAGAAAATAGTTTTTTAACGAATAGAGATGTAAACGGTATGAGCATGGACACAGACTGGAATAACAGTTTTTATAACTGGGAATGAAAAAACGAAAACTAGGGAGTCAGACTGAACTAGATCCATGTTAAATATAGACGTTAGACTAGTTTCTTTGGAACAAATAGCTTTGGCTTTCCAATGCATATGACGACGGCTTCTGTGGTACAAAGAAGTCGGAAACACACTGTTTTAGGTAGCTTTTCAATTCACTTCGTAACAGGCTCTGGATGGTGAGTCAGTTGAGATGCCGTCTTAGGTATTGACGAGGTGTTCAATTATGCCTCTTCTGATTGGATCAGTGCCTCGTCTTTGCAATCATGCTGGGTAATGTTCTCTAAAATGTTTTGAAAGGATGTGCATAGAACGACCTACGTACCTTGCTCCATAGAAGCAGGTGAATTGGTATATACACACCGGAGTGGTCATATGCAGTATCAAAGAACACACTGCATTTGAATCTAGACTTCAGAGGAGACTTGGCTGCAGATAGACCTAAGAGGAGGATCCCTAGTTCCCTAAAGAAGACCTTTCCTGCAGCGACTGTAAGAGTGATTCTCCCTAGCTGCCCAGTGCCGTCAAGCAATATGAAGGAAAATCTTCCGCATATGACCGCTGTAATGTGCATATATTGATTCATCTGCTTCTAAGGAGCTAGGTGCATAGGTTGTTCTATGCGGGCCTTATCAGAACATGTGAGAGAACATTAGCCAGGATGGTTGTAAAGATGAGGCACTTGGTCAATCAGAAATGGATCATGGAATGTTTCAGTCTAACAAGTGGGTACAGAATTAATAAGATTATTGAACAATTAAAACATTTACAAAAAACTATAGATAAAGGCAGCAAGTAGGATAGTGCGTCGGTGGTTCAGTGGCAGACAGCTCGACAGTCATGCACGTATTTTTTGGTTGGATTGACAATTCACCGTTAATTGAAGTTACAAAGAAGCTGGAAGCTGATGAAATTACTCTGTGGTGGTTATAATAGGTCCTTGCTGCATCCTTCAGTGAATATAGTATGATAAAAGTATGAAAAACTACGAAAACTATCTAGCAAAACCTTCCGAGATTATCCATTTAATTGACATGCGTATTCCCTTTGTACTGCTTACTCAAGACCAGAAGCTTTTAAACTAAAGGTATTCTAGGATAAGATAAATTGTGGGTTA